TTCTGCAACTTATAACTACTCTTCCTGACGATGTTAACAAAGCATATTTCTCGGCCATTATCATTAATGGTTTTCAAGATTTTACGTCTCTGTGAACCGGTGATAGCGTTGGCTTCACGATCAAAATGGATTGTCATGATTTTAGCCGAAATTGTTAGCCTTCTAACTTGAACATTTAATCTCGGTCCTAGTTTGTCGATCTTCCTTTCAGCCGAGTTTCACTTACCATCATCTGGTGGCTCAAAACTTAGTAATTTTTTCATGTGTCCTATGTCGGCAAATCCTCATCACCTTTGTCGGCTATCTATGGTTGCCGACCAAAAGGACTTTTTTTTTTTTGTCAGTAAATTTCATCTTAGGCATGCCTTGTTCGGTCTTATTCAATCCGCGTTGACGGTCAATAATTTGCGCAATTTTGGATAACAACACGGAAATAATTTAAAAGATAATTGGGACTGATCTTTTATAATCTAAAAGGTAATCATAATATAAAACACACCCTTGATACCGTATCATGGAGACTTTTTTTCTTAATTGAGATAATTGCTCAAAACCTCTCGAACTTTGACATCATTGCACAATGGCTCTCGTCTTAATAACCCACATACTTCGAAAAGTTATATATTATCTTTTAAATTATTATTTTCATCGCAGTAGCTAGTTTTTTTGGTCTGCAAAGCCATTCGGTATCATAAAAAATTTAGAGTGCCTCATTTTGCTCGACCAAAATAATCTCTACTAAATACTCTTAATTTTATTGGCCATGCTCGATTCTATATTTTAACTTATTTTGTATTTGTCATCCCGTCGCTCGGGTAAAAATGCTTTAAGCTTTTAACTTATTTCTTGCTCTTCATTAGTCAATGACGGTAACATATTAATCATCTTTTAAATCAAAAGATATATTTTTACGTTTCAGATAAAATACATTTTCGTGAAACTCTCGAATTTTAAATTTGTTTTATTCCAATATGCAAGCATTTTTCGTTTTTAAATACAGTTAATACAAGCTCATGCTAATATTAATTTCCGTATCCCAAACCGTATATGATCTCCGTATCCTTAATCTTACCTTACATAGATTGCTCCGTATCTGACAAACGGGATATGATTGGCTTATCTTTTCCCTTCTCCAAGCGTGCGTCATCCCTAGGAGCCTGACCGCGCGTGTATATATAGTCTCGTTGGTGCGCACGGCCTCCTCACTGCGTCTCCTCCGCTAACCTCAATGGCGGCGACCGGTTCTGCCCTCTGAGAGACGGCCGCTCCCATCGGAGCTCGCTCGCCGGCGACCGCATCTGCTCCGACTCCGAGCCTCGAAGGTCGTTACCCAGGACAGAGGATCTTTCGGATCCACCAGTTTTAACCGGCAAAAGCAGTTTAAAGGGACTCTTCAGGACGAGATCGTGCGTGTTTGTCTCGCTCCGTGCAGATGGGTCGGTAAAACTCGCTTCCCTCTCTGCATCCGATCGACCCTTTATCGTATTCATGTCCACAACTCAATCTTGGGTTGTTTGTGGGGGGAGGGTGGAGAGTTTTGCCCCGGCTGCGGGACTTGGGCGATCGAAAGGAATGATCTTGCTTGCGATCTCGTGCTGAATGTTTCGTTAAACTGTTTTTGCCGGCTAAAACTGGTGGATCTGGGACTTTTTCTGGTTTGGGTGGGATCTCGAGGCTCGGATTCGGAGCCGGAGCGGTTGCGGCGAGCATCCTGATGGGGCTGCTCTTTCTCGAGGGCAGAGCTGCTCGGGCATCGAGGTTAGTCGATGGGATGCAGCGGAAGTCTCGGGTTAGGTTCGCGGTCCATCCCGTTTTTGCTTGATTATGAATATGATCTTCCATTGCCGAGCCAATAGGAAAGATGCTCTGGTATCGATGCCGGCCTTGCGTGGAGATGAGATTCGGAGCGGCGGCTCTACTCTGTCCGAGCTCGGTGAAGGCTTTGCTGGTGAAGATCAAATTCTGGATGTATTAGTAGGTTGTTTGTTCCACATCTTTATGGCGTTTGTAATCAACAAACTGTAGAAATTGCTACAATGGTTTACCAGTGTAATTCTTGGTTGCGGGAGATATTTTGCTCTTTGATTTACTTGAGGCATGAAGCAATCTTTGTTCTAAAGTTGTTCTCTTTCTGTGGATCAAAGGCACATTAACATAATGGGTACTAATCAAAAACTGCAAATTGTTATACCGGTTTGTGTCGGGTTGACCCAAATTGATCCATTTTTTTAGTGATCCATATGCGACCCCTTAATGGATAAAGTACACTTGTACCTGTCGGTTTGGATGATCCTTTTTTATGAAATACACGACCCATATCCAACCTAGATACAATCTATATCGAACCAATCCGGGCTCCATTTGTAGCAATTTTTCTTGTCAAATTGTTGCCTCTGAAGATTGGGCGACTCTGTGAGTTGGCTCGCCGAGTGAGTGTTGGCGTGAAGGTGGTGATTCGAAGAGGTAGAATGAAGAATGTGTCATGAGCTCTCCAATTGAAGTACTAACGGTTGCTTCACAAAATCATTTCCTCTTCGTGCTTGCAGCAACCAATTCAGAGGCCAAAAGTTTGAAGGGCCTGATGATGCAACAAAGATGCAGGACACAAGACCAGATATAAAGAAGAGAAATCACATTCGATGAAAATACGAAATCTAGTCTCAATGTGTTGTCTGCAGAATAAGCAAAATGAGCTAGCAGAGCCACCACCACTCCATCTTTCAATCCTTTCAAAGGTAGGAAGTCGATCAAGGATTGCAAGCCGAAGTAATAAAAGCAAATGCAGGCACATCATCTGAGAACGACACCGACATATGCCATAGAACCTTTGCACTCTTGGTTCTTACGGCATACCGATATTGATGATCAGGCTAAAGATTGATGGACTTTTGGAAGCTTCGTCCAAGCATAAGTGAAATTAGAGCAGCACGAGAGAGCCCAGATCGTCCTTATTAAGCCTGTGTTACCTTAACCAAGAATCCTGATCTCAGTAGAATATGCCACAGCCGGTTAATGATAGAAGCAGTGTTCAGCGGATCCTTGTAAGGCCAAGACCATCTTCATGCTTGGGTAGGAATGCATGCTTCCATTTGACCTTAACTCCACCTTTCCTTTCAGGATCTCCTTTCCACAGATAAGACCTACACTTCTGCTGAACATTGCGATTGACCATTTTGACGCAAATGGTTGGCGAGACTACAAATAACTGATTTAAGCAATTGCAGCTTGTTTGCATAGGAAAGCCTCTTGGCTGTCAGCACTTATACCAAAGGCACATCAAGGTACTTTGCAGGTAACTTCCTTCTTTGAAACCCAGTTATAGTAGGAAGTCCTGAAACAAACTCCTCTGTATGATCAGCCGTGACTCTTTATATGGCTGAGTTAAGACATGAGATTCTTCTAAAGTAACTAAAGACATAAAGTATAAGCCTGAGAGCATCTACATTCCCTTTCAAAAACATGATCACATCATCCGCAGACAAAGGTGATTCAGCTGAAGCTTTGATCAGAAGGGATGATACTTGATATCAGCAGCAGCAGCAGCAACTTCGAACAATCTAGATTTCACTTCCATAGCTAAGAACAGACGGATAGGGCAAAAGTGGGTCACCTAGTCTCACACCTCCCTTTCCCAGAAAAAATCCCTCAAGTGAACCGTTAAAGTTTACAGAAACCCATTTAAATTAAGATCAGATCATCAACCGCCCCCTTTGGATGGCAAATTCGATGGTGATGAGTGAGTAAATAGAGGAGAGATAAGGAAGATAAAGAAGCAACGTTATTTGAGTTACTCAGTGCAGGTGCGCGAAGCCAGATCAACTGGAAAGTAGGGAGTTCACCTCTTCGGAGGACTATCGGAGATGGGCGGCGATGATGCCGGAGATAGCTGGTGAGGGTGCCGGAGACGCTGATCAGTTGGGATCAAAGAGGAGGGTGAGTCATGATTAATGCAATCGAAGAGGGAGAGAGAAAAGAGGAGTGAAGATCGAACACGGTTGACCCCTATTTTAAACTTGAGATGACTCAAATACATCGCACTTCAATGAATTTGGTTAAAGTACGAGTTTGTAACCCATCTGGCAACTCTACCCCAATTTCGTGGTACAAAAAATCCCAGGTACAGCAATGCCAATTCTATCTTTCATAAATTACTTATGTCCAATACTTTAAGCTAATATTGGACTAAAGTATCGGTCCGTAATTCTTTTGCAACACGAAAAAATGTTCGAAGTAAATGTTGTACGAATATACTTGTAAGACGTTTGCAGTCGAAAAGGCATGTCCAGTCCAGACACAATTTCCTGAGTTCAAACCCAAACCCGAGCCCGACCACACTTCAAGTCCTTCATGAATTGCTAAGGGCAAATCTTGACCTCAGTGTATACCCGACTCGCGGCAGTACTACGTACCATTCGTGATTAGAATTTCTCGGTAGGTTGGGGAGACTCTCAGGGTAATCCTCGCAAAGATTGTCTGTCATCGCCTTTTTTTATTTTTTCCCGAGTTAGAATAACAAAGAAAAGGCTAGATAAGCCGATACAGGTGTGTAATCGGGTGAAGTCGAGTCGCTAAAAGCACGAAGCTTGACCTCGATTGGATCAGTAGAACACTTCCTGCTCGCGCTTGGTTTGAATAGAGCAGATCACGATGGTCGAATGGAACCTCGACTTGATATTCGCTATGTTCATTTTTATAACCAATAAATATCTATGAGCATATAATAGAAATTTGTTGGGGAACGACACGTGCGGGCCTCTAAACTCTAGTTTAAGGTTCGATGTCGTTTCAGACTATTAATTTGTTCGACATAGTCTTTATAATATTTATTATAGTTTATGAATTTTTAAACATTCTCCTATAGTATAAGGACTATATTGAACATTTTATAATAATTTAGAGATTATATTGAATAAACTAAAAATTTAGAGATGATATCGTGTCGAAATTCAGGGAGGACTGTATCGTATAAATAGTAAATTTCAAGGTATCTTACAAGTTACAACACGTTATCCATTTCCCTCCACATGAGTTCCTTCGGACTGTAGAACTCTTCCTTCCTCGAGCCGTCCGATATGGCGACCATGGCGTCTACGTCCCCGCTGATCCGCCTCCCTTCCCCGAGATTTCAAGCCCGTTCCGCATCCCGAAAGCGCGCCGGCAGCGGCAACCGGCCTCCTCCGCGCCCTCGCCGGCGGTCCGGGAAGCCGGGCCTCCGCACCCGTTACGAGCCGCCGCCCCGGCCCGTGCCCGTCGCTCCGGCGAGCTCCGGGCCCGAGGCGACCACCTACACTCGCCTCCCTCCCAGGGAGGACTTCTCGGCCGCGTCGATCGATGCCGTGAGCGAGGTGAAGCTCTCCGAATCTCGCATTGCCCTAATTGATCCCGAAGCTGATGGCGTTAGTGGTGAAGTAGGTGAAGAATGTGATTATGATGGCCAGGAAGATGGCACTGATGGGAGTTTGGGGCTTAACTATATGTCGCTCGATGTGTTTGAAGGAAACTCGAGTGCTCGAATTGATGATGGCGGCGATGAGGATGATGATGATGATGAAGAGGAGGAGGAAGAAGGAGATAGTGATTATGGAGAATTTGAATATGAGGAGGAAGTGTTAGGGTTTGACGGCGGAAAGATAGTCAGTGGTTACGACAGTGATGGTAATAAAGTCATGGCAATGCTCTACACAGTTGGCGATGATGACAATGAAAATGATGGTTCTGCTGGCGAAAAATCGGGGCTTAAGGACGGCAAGACGGTGAATTTGGCAGATTCGGAGGGTGAATTGGACGATGAGGAAGCTCAAGTGAAGGAGAAGGGGGTGCCGGCAGTGATGAGGTGCTTTGACCAAGCCAAGATATATGTGAAAGCCGGGGACGGTGGCAATGGTGTGGTGGCATTCCGCCGCGAGAAGTTCGTTCCTTTGGGGGGCCCGTCAGGCGGCGATGGAGGGAGAGGAGGGAATGTTTACTTGGAAGTCGATAGGTCAATGAACTCATTGTTGCCGTTTAGGAACAGCGTGCATTTCAGGGCTGGGAGAGGGAGGCATGGGCAGGGGAGTAAGCAGGCTGGGGCTAAGGGTGAGGATGTTGTGGTGAAGGTGGCCCCTGGGACGGTCGTTAGAGAGGCGGGGAAAGAGGAGGTGTTGTTGGAGTTGTTGAATCCAGGACAGAAGGCGTTGTTGTTGCCGGGTGGTAGAGGAGGGAGAGGGAATGCTTCGTTTAAGTCTGGGATGAATAAGGTGCCTCGGATAGCTGAGAATGGTGAAGAGGGTCCGGAGATGTAAGCTTTTAGTTCAGAAACTATACCGTGTCTTTGGAGATTGTTGATAAATATTTGGTTTGCATTGCAGATTGATTTAGTCTTGCTACCACGATGTTTTTTATATCTGCTCTGGTTTGACACAGAATATAACTTTTGTGGACGAATAACTGTGAAAGTTTATTTGCATAGTCGTATCCTTATACAATGCAATGGACAATAGAGGTGCTGGCTGCATTTGATTTTTTTTCCTTTTGTCAGTGAAAGTTATATGTATATTGTTACCACCTTCAGGGAGTGATAAGCAATACTTTGTGATTGAGCAAGCACATGGAATGACTATGAAATAGAACTAAGACTTGAGCCACATTAATTGCTAGTCACCCAGAATCATAGCAATTTCAAGTTAACTTTTCAGGAGAAAAACAAAAAATTCTATGATCAAATTCATTATTCAGGAATTGAAACAGAACATTGGTTTGCCAGCAATAGCTGAAAGGAGACAGACCATTGGTTTGCCAGCAATGGCTGAAAGGAGGCCTTATGTCATCTTGAACTGGCTCTAATAAATCATGATTTAATGAGCTTTATTATTTGGGCATATTAACTTAAAAGTATTTTTAATCAATGTTCTCCTCAAAAGGCTTCCTCAAGGGCATGAAACTAAGGATGGTCTTTTGGTCAGGTGGTTAGAGCTGGAGCTGAAGCTGGTTGCGGATGTCGGAATTGTTGGTGTTCCTAATGCAGGAAAAAGCACCTTTTTAAGTGTGATTTGTGCTGCACAGCCGACAATAGCAAATTACCCCTTTACAACTTTACTACCTAATCTGGGTGTAGTATCATTTGACTATGATTCTACCATGGTTGTAGCAGACCTACCAGGTTTACTTGAAGGAGCGCACCGAGGTTTTGGTCTAGGTCATGAGTTTTTACGACACACAGAGAGGTGTTCTACTCTGGTAGGCTCCCTGTTAGAACTTGTTTCTCATTGTTGTCTACACTTCAGTAAGCAGACTATATTGCAGCTCATGCATTTATCTGTATCTTGGGGCTTTTTATATTTTCCAACGGCATATGTTGTCTTCTGTTACTAGCCATAACCATTACAGTTTCTAATTCTATCCATTGGGAAAATACCTGGGAAGACTGAGGATTCGCTTTGTGGTAATGCATCACATTTTATTTTGTTGCGTTTCTAGGAACTAATTCATATCCCACTAGCCGCAGAAGGTTTTTAGTTGGGGGTTTTGAGGTTTCTGATTGAATGCTTCATTTCTATTCTGGTTTTGACCTTTGAAGCCAAACATACCACAACCTCATTGTAGATTGTAGATAAGTTTGAATCTAATGGGTGCACAACAAATATGATATGCTGATGGATTAAACTAGCGGGTTGCCCTGTCTCCTCATGGTGTTTCCTCAATTATTTTTGGCACAAATGACTCAGCTTCATTGGGTATATATAAGCTGTTCGTGGTTCACATTTTAATGTGGCATCATTTCATTGTTTAGTATGCTTCATCTGTCTCACAATGTCATGTCTTCAAAGTTGTCGAATAGCTAAAGTACTCGAAAAGGTGAAAAGAGAGAAAGGTGAAAGCCTAATGACTAATGGCATAGGAAAGTAAGTTAAACAAATTGCATTGGCGGCTGTGGAAAGTCAACATTTGCCTATAATTACTCACTTCTACTTGATGCTGTTGTATGTTAGTTGATGCGTTACTGATACATTTGATCCTTAGGTACATGTGGTTGATGGATCATCAGAGCAGCCAGAGCTTGAGTTTGATGCTGTCCGACTTGAGCTGGAATTATTCAGCCCTGAACTTGCTGAAAAGCCATTTATAGTTGCTTATAACAAAATGGATCTTCCAGAGGCATATGAGAGATGGCCATCATTCAAGGAAAGGCTGGAAGCTCGTGGGATTCAAACTTTCTGTATGAGTGCAGTGAAAAGAGAAGGCACTTATCAAGTGATTTCTGCTGCTTATGACGTTCTACGGAAGAGTAAGGAAGCAAAGAGCAGTTTTGAAGGTAAGGCTTGTTGCCTCATGTGCCTCCCCATCTAGCAGTCTTACACTTTTCTTAGATGTCTCTTGTTAATGCTTTCTCATTTTGTTTTCCCTGCGAAAGTTACAGAACAAGTCTGATTCTATGATCTTTTTTTATCCATCTGATTTAATCTATGGACAATTGATGAGTTTTATTTGCACTAGGTTGGGTGGATCCCAGCAGTCTGAACCATGTAGCTGAAAAGGTAAAAGATCAAAGAAGTGCTTCAATTAGTGAGTTTGAAATCACTCACGACAGCAGTTCGCGCACTTGGCATGTTATTGGATCCGGGTTACGACGGTTTGTTCAAATGACAAACTGGAGGTAGAATGATGATTACTCAATGGCCATTACTAAGCAATGCTATATAGTTCTGTTTCCCTTTTTCTGTTTTGATCATCTTAATGCATGGTGTATTTTTAAGTGCTCATATTCAGATTGTGTAATGCAACTCTAAGACTAAAGAGACTAGGATTGTAAAGTTGCACTTGCTTGTTAGTGAGGTTAATTTGGGATTCGCCATACAGAGGAAGGCTGCAGCTCATACCATCAAAATTGGATTACTTGTCCCCTTCATCTTGGCACATGTGCTCCCCATATATGTTTGATTCGCTGACTAATTAGTTGAAGTTCATCTTATTTGTTTTGAGTAACTAATTGTCAGGAATTGCAAAGTCCCTATCAATTTATCTGGACAGAGTCCAATCATATTTTTCATAAGTATTTGGGGAACCTAGGAACTTTTTAGGAGTTGGGAGTTCTGAGAAGTCATGTTGCAAATTTTGTTGTTTTTGTATCTATTGATATCTTCCTCTGAGAGCCAGATAATTTGACATACATGTTTGTGGGGATCAGATTAGTTCTACCTGTGTTGGCAGAAAATCTTTTTCCTTCGCAAATTATCTTCTGATCTATTTCGTGAAATGTAGTCAGTATGATTTCTTCACTTGAGAAGTGTTGTTGATATTTTCTATAACAGGTATCTCGATTCAGAGAAAAGGTTCCAGCACGTTTTGGAGGCTTGTGGTGTGAATAAGACTCTCATGAAACTAGGTGTAAAGGAAGGGGACACAGTCACTGTTGGAGAGGTAGACGTCTGTTAGCTGCTCTCTTATTCTCACATCTTTAACCATTTGAAGCTTTGATAATGCGTGGAGTATACATGAATATTGAAACATGCAGAGATAATGCTAAATGGCAAACCTTGGGCCCGGTGCAATTCAAATTGACGTTCTTCAGAGTGCATCCTATTGCAATCTCTAGATTCTTTACATCTATTTTGCCAATCCTTTAATCAAGTGTAGACTTTTATAATGACAATATGTTCCATAGTGGTCGTTCTTGCCTAAAAAGTATTACTAGTTACCAGCACCAAATGCGGTTTTGGATATTATTGTGGCTTGAATGAAGTTAATCCCATCAAGAAAATGAGGACTCTTTCTCTTTTATTTCTTTCGCCAGTCTCATGAAGTGACTTTTCGAGCAAATACTGGGAAATCCCACATATCCTGTCATTTCTGTGAATATTTTATTCTCTTCTTTATAATCGATCGAGTCACAGTCAGAGGGATTATGTTTCAAATTTTGTCAGTTGGAGATGGTGTGGCATGATTCCGCTGAGAGAACTGGTCCATCAACTATAAACAAGGGATCCACGGATTCAATTAGGTGGCCTCAGTGGAAATAGCTTGCCTATATTATCTGGTAACTATGTTTGATACATGTAGTTTATGATCTGAAGACTCTTCTTTGATGCTCTATGCCTGCCATTCTCCTGCTTCCCTCATAAACACGTTTTATTACTCCACTGCAGTTGAATTACGCTGCACGGCTAAGCAGCTGCTCGTATGTCATCATGAAAGTGGTAGTGGTACTCTGCCTTCAAAAGAATTTGCAGAATTGAGGGTGCAGATTTACAGGTATTGTCTTGTCTGTCTTCTGCATTTTATGACCCATTGGGCATTTCTCGACCACAAATTTGTCTAACAGGACTGTCATAAAATCGATGCATTATCAACCCGAGAAGATTGATCTGATTCACTTTTTGGCCAATGGAACTCAGGAGCGACAACATGCAAGAGTGACTGTCCAAATCTTCGTGTCCGACAGGGCGCAGTACTTCCTAATAATCAGTTAACTTCTGGTATGCTCTCAAGGATTACAAACGTCGGAACCGAAGATCCATGGAATATCATCTTAGTGCTGCATCTAACCAGACGAGCTACCGATGAAACGATCTAGTCAGAGAATCTATCAAACGCAAGAGAGTAGGGTTTCTCTAAGAACCATTCCATTATCGTTATTTGTACCCCCGATCCTCGTCATTACGAGGCATGCACCATTACCCCCAGCATCGAATTTGATGCGGGAAAAACAGATGACTTCATGATTTCTGGAAAAGTTGCTTTCTTGTTATAATGAGCATCCAAGGAGAACTGTCGATGTGCTAATGACCCGCTAACGTATTATGTTCCCTTGCGACCCAAAGAAGACAATGCAAAATGTATGTTACTGAAAGTAGACAGAAAGAGAGCATTTCTTCATCCGAATGTGTTGTCTACAGAAGTGAACATGCTGTTGAAAACAGTCGCTTGATGTAGAAACATGAATCTTGCTACTGAGAACAGGCGACATGGCTGCACTCAATGGGGTGGTTGCCTGCCGAAGTGAACTCTCATGCGATTCGGCAGCGGACTAGATCCCCATGTGTCGTGTCGGATCCTGCACGTTAGAAAACGAATTTGACAGATCAATAGGTCAACCTACCCCCGTCAATGGGGTTGATTCTTCTTTCCCAGATTCAATGCGTCCTCTTCTTCTGAGGTTACTGTGTCCATTGGGCCAACTTTGTACTTTGTTCCCTTAGGGACGTTTTGATTTGTCCCGGGGCAACTGCTTATCTTATATACGTAGTGAACTAAGGCCATGCAACCGGACCGCCTTGGGAACCGGTCTGGTTCTAAATTTCTAGAATGTGTCCGGTTCCCTGTTCCAAGTAAAGAACCATCCGAGAACCAGATCAATTGGACCGAATTTAAAATCGTTTTCATAAAGCCTAAAAATCCTAATTTTTCATTTCGCATCTTTTTCTTTGTTATCTTCAACATCATTAAGATACTTCATGACTCTCTCTCTCGCTCGTGACTCGCCATCCTCCTCGCTTGCTCGCGGTTCCCCCCCGCTTGTTCGAGCCTTGCAACCCTTACTCGTACCTAACTTATCTTTGCTCGCTTGGCCACATTTATATTTTTTATTTTGCTGTAAAAAATGAAATAAAAAAAAAAGGAACAAAAGAAGAACTTGTACATCCTGGAACCGGATTGGAAAAATAGGGTAGGTTCCAAGGCAAATAGGGTAGATTCAAGGGTTCAATAATTTATAACCGGTTCTAACATAGTAGGTTTCAGGTTTCGAGTTTGGAACTTGACCACCCTCGAACCGATCACCCCTATCGTGAATGAATATTTGAAGTTGAGTAATGCTCGAACCCATGTCCTAAATGCATTGAAAGATTCTCAAAGAACTAATTAAATCCGCATAGGCACATCCTCGAATCCTATCGTACTAAAAAGATTTCGAATGCTTCATAAGCACGGCCCCCTCATCCAAAAGAACAATCGACTAGAACGCGGTACTCGGGAAACATCGAAAAATCTCCGGCCTGCTCATGCCCCGAACAAGTCTTTCTCGCCACGAGAAGCTCTAGTCGAACTCAGAAACTGTGAAGGCACTTTTCCTATTCAACCTCCTTCCTTTTGGTCCGGTTGCTCTTGATTGATGCTAGACACTTTGCGCTCTCCGTGCACGAGCCAAAACGTACGTGGGGGGGAGTTAGGACTTAGGAGCAACAAAATCTGGTGATTAGTAAGTACAACTCTCCCACCATCCCAATCTCTTAGCCGTCAAATCCTACCCGGTTTTCCCCATCAATCAGACGGGGCACCTCACTCTCGCGGTTTCTGAATCTTTTTGACTGCTCCCCCTTCCCTCCTCTTTCGCTTTCGCACCGTTCGATCCCTCCTCCTCGTCCTCGTATCCTGGGTGCAACTCCATGCGAGGGCCGTGCGATCGCGCTACCCCCCGGCGCCACGTCACCGTATTCCCCCCCTCCCGACAGCCGCGATCTGGGGGGCGGGCTGCCGCCGGGAGGGGCCGACACGTCGGCCTGCCGGGGGGGGAGGGGGGGCCCCGCCGGTGAGGTGAGGGGTCGATGGAACTGGCGTGGCAACAGTGTCCACGTGTCACGTCGGGTTGAAAAGCTTTTGACGGGGGGTGTCGCACTCGCACGTCCTAGGGGCAGGGTTGGGGGATTAGCTGTCGATCGCTGATTGGCCGAGACGGTCAGAGTCAGCAAGAAATCGGGTCCGGTGTTGGGGACTCGCCGTGGAGACCGGTTCGTGACCGGAGGTACTAAGGTCATGAGATGTTCCGATGATGCACGGGCATTCTAAAAGCTTTTCGGGAGGGAATTGAGTGGGAGAAAGAGTTTTTTTTTTGTGAGTTTAGCGGTTGATTCGATCGACGACGAGCAAGGTTGATACGAATGGATATATGTCGCGTAGAATCCGAGTAGTATTTCGATGGTTGGTTACTTACTTTCGTCCCGTTGCCTATGCGGCTAAATACGAAAGATGCTTTCTTTCGTGACAACGAGTCGGATGAATGAAAGTATCGACGATGTAAGAATAGTCGGAGTCGTATCGTCGATATCGTCTCCTATGGTCCCAATATTTTCCGACTTTCGATGATGAATTGATTGAACCCTTCATAGCCGTCCTTCCTCAAGAAGCTTAAATGAAGAGGCTCGAGCCGATTGAATTCTTCAAAACACGATGGGTGTTGTTAAGTGGGGGGAGTATCAAAAAGATAAAAGAGCGTGGCATTATTTTCTTTTATAATTAGAGTCATTTAACTTGCGTTATAACTAGGGGTGAGCATGATGGACCGCCCGAACCGGGACCGGACCGGACCGGCAGGTTTGGTCCGGTTCTCGGGAGTATCGGTCCGGTTCCCGGTTCCTAAAAGTGGAACCGGTTTTCGGGCGGTCCGGTTCCCGGTTCTAGGGTAGGAACCGGACCGAACCGGACCAATAAATATATATATGTTTTTTTTTGTCAGAAAATATAGATTTATAGATAAATATATATATTTGTTGCGTATTGGGAGGAGTTCCAATTGGGATAATTGTTCAATGTTCCTTTGGTTATGTATCTAATTCACCTACATCTAATTCTGTTAGGCTAAGTTCCGGCATCAACCTTGGACACTAGCCGTGAAAGCTTTACTACATAAAGTTTGAATTCATTCCAATAAGTGATTGGTTCCATTAGAACCGGACCGGACCGGACCGGACTATCGTTGATACTAGCCGCGAAAGCTTTACTACATAAAGTTTGAATTCATTCCAATAAGTGATTGGTTCCATTGGAACCGGATCTGACCGATGGTCCGGTCCGGTCCATGGTCCAAGGACTAACTGGTCCGGTCCTCGGTCTTAGAAATTGGGAACCGGTCCGGTTCACGGTTCTTGGGTGGGACCGGACCGGATCGGGAACCGCTCACCCCTAGTTCTAACGATTAGTAATAAGAGGGATTGAATTTCAAGGGACCGTTTCTGCGAGTTCTAAAAGAAGCCCATATCCTTTGTACAAAAGAGGAAGTCGACCTAATTAGGTAGATATCAAAGTTATGAAACATCGCATCAATCTTCCGAGGGGAGTCGAGAACTCAATGCCTCGAAAAAAGAACCTTAATCATTTGTTCTTAGCAAGTGTTATTTGATTTTGCTGGTGCGGATGCTCATGGTGAGGGGGATGACTAGACAATTTTTGGCACCCTCTAGACACGTGATGAGCAGAACTAAAACGCAAGAGCATTGGCTTTTTCTTAAGCAAAAGGAGGAGACAAGTTGGCCGAATAGAAAAATGGGGTGACATGAGCCCGGCTTATAGGGTGGTGGCACTAGGATTTCTTGGCTTTTGGTGGAGGGACACATGTGTGTGTTTGACCAGAAAGCAGCAGCAGCAGCACAGAAGTTGAACCATGAAAAGGCTCAAAAAAAAAAAAAACCCCAAGAACAATAACCCCACACAAGTTCAGTCTTGGCAACGATTGAATCATTCAAAAAAACCATTCTTTTAAGAAGTGCCTCTCTATCTCTCTCTCTCTCTCTCTCTGTCACTCTCTCTTTCTCTCGTCAAAGTCCAAGTCCTATGAAAAAACAATCTTTTTCCCAGAATTCCGGGCACCCTTTAACAAGAGGAGGAAAAGAAAGAAGGGAGGAAAGGAGGGTTTGTGTGCTTGTGTTTGGAGAATGTGCTTAAAAAGTCCTCAAGCTTCTGACCCTTTTGTCAAAGAGAACTTGACAGGAAAGCGAGACATGTTGTTGGCCCCTACCCGATGATTTCCATAAGGAGTGCCACTTGCATGACTTGACCAGCCTTTCTGTCACTTTAAATGGCAAAGTTCACAACAATAACCCAAAGAAACTTCCACGCGTCCTCTCAACTTCTTCCACCAACGTAACTCTTATGCATTCGGTTTGAGGTTGTCTGGTGGTGATGGTATTCGCCAACCTCGCCGTTCCTATTTCAAAGTCCGAGTTCGAATTACCATGCTTGAAAACCCGTCTCAGAAGTACTCCGAGGAACACGGATTTATATGCTTCAACTGTGCATTCATTGTATACACCAAATGAAAAGGTGGCTGCTTCTTATAAAATTAAGTCAAGTGACTTGGAAAAGGCACTAGATCCACCATTGTTAGTAAAACTGTATATCTACAACCACTATCTTTCTACATCTGATATGTTTATCGTAAGGAATTTTTAAGAGGCTAAGCGAGCATTTGCCATTTAAAGTCGCAATACCTTGAAACCGGTGGGGCAATTCACTAAAAGGTACGTGTTCTGAAAGTGTTGCAATTGCAATGCGTTTGTCAAGTACAACATAAGTTTCTATCTATGTACATGTAGATAGAGTAATGCTCGCATGAGAATAAGTCATGTGAGACACTCATTTGCGAGTTTTTCCCCGCAATTTACTTATAACAGTCAATTTAGCCAATCTCCAATTTTTAGGCATATCTTGTGTATATATATATCGATTCTATTCTGCACTTTAGCAAGTCCATTTGCTAGCTAGATCGCTTTAGCGTATCTCTATTGATGCTTAGAGCTGAAGAATTGTCACGAATTTTTCGAAAGAGATTAACAATGCAAAGATACCCATCATTACAAAAAGTTAATATAAAGTTTAAAAAAAAAAAGATGATATATTTTTTTTATAGGGTTCATTACATGACTGTCATACATGGAGTCCCGGTATTTCATGAGAGCATTCGATGTCATCGGGTCCACTTCAGTTTATGCCAGGCATGTCCCCCTTCCCAAATCCAAATTTTTAGTGGAGGAGTCAAAGGTCATAGATTCTAGTTCATGTTGTGCATATACAAATTATAACTTGATTAAAATTAGTTTATAAATTATGCACAGTGCATCTTGTGACCCTCTCTCCAAAACTAGCATTAGAGCGCCATGTGTGCATATTTTTATTTTAGTTACTTCATTCACTTCATTGATAACATGTATGAATTTAATTGCTTGTGTAAATAATTAATTACAGTGGCTGGAATTTTTAACAAAATATATAACTTATGTTATGATAAAGATATTTTCTCGAATGGCTTTTTTTGTGCGTAATTAATATTTTAAAAAACAACATTTTTTTACATATATAGTGTGCTTAACGGTGTCATTAACGTACACATCAAGATGACTTATTTAATCGATATTACTTTAATCATTTAATCACCGTAATGCACAGCCACTTATGATGGTACGTAGGGCAGACGTCTCGTGTGTTTTTTCAAGAAACGACAAGAGACCCAATTAAAACCCTAAGAATTATGACTATAGTTTATGTAATTCCCAATGCCATTTACGTACGTGAAAGATTAATTAAAAGAGGGATGAAATCATGCTTTTTTTTCCTGTTGGAACTTTCAATTAAAAAAGGGTGTGAGTGCCCCACTAATTGCCTTTTGTTTGGGCAGTTTAATCCACATTGCTCATTAAAAAAGATTATTTTCTTAAGCTTTGATTGCTCTTTTTGACTATAGCCTTTTTCTGCTTCTTTTATTATGATCAAGTTCAAATAAGCTGACACCTGTCTCTTTTGATTGTATATTATAAAAAAAACAAAAATTTATGACAATCAAAAGCATCAGCTTTGGGAAATGTAATGGTGATAAATTTTCTCCCACCTGCCATCAGTCCTTGATAAGTGAGAACAATCATCATTATCCTTCCCCAACATTCATTTTCTTTCTCCCCCTTTTTAGAAAAAAATGCGAAAAAAATAACAATAATAGTTACATAAAAATTGCGATATACATACATATATATAATATATATATATATTTATGTATGAGTTCCTATTGCACAAACTTTAAATAGTGTAAGAATGTCCAACCTAAAACTTTGAGCAAAAAGGTGGAGGAAAATTACGTTATATGAAAAAAACATATAAATCCCATACACAATAGATGTGAAATATTTAAATAAATAGCAATTCCAAAAGACCCAATTAAATTCTCTTGACCACTATTTATATGGAAATTAAATATTAAAGATGTCATCGCTATCGCTATTATTCAGCGTGGGAAATGTATAAACTGTAACACCTACCTAAGTAATCAACAAGGGAGAAGGTTAAGTAATCAAGATACACAAGAATTGTGTCAACGAAAAGGTTATACAAGGACGCAGTGGGGTCCGCATGGAACCACTAATTTCAATGGTACGGATCTAGTTTAGCACATATTCTCATTTACGTAATAATTTGCATATATGAATAGTTTTAATGTGCTACGATTGCCATTGAAGCATCATGAAGTTTTACTCCGAAAAGCTTCAAATTTTCTCCTCTCTTTTGGGCTAGAAAATGTCCTTTTCCATAGATTTTTTAGGCAGGACCAGACTAAGCAAAAGACTTTTGCTAAGCTTTCTCACACATTCTTCAAAGTTCCTAAAGATTTACCTTCCAATGACAAACATTTTGAGCATGGAATAAAGAAAAATCATCACATTAAACAACTACTTATTTTCGTTTATGGTGAAATATTCATGGATAAATTCCATAAGGAAACAAATGAAACAGCACTGTAGCTTTGACTTCTTGGACCCTCTTTTCAAAGGAACTTGTTTTGTTTTGTGATTGATGTGGGGTTTGTTTCCAATTTCAATGACACAGGACAAGAGGAGGTCCAGAAAAAGAAGTTTCTTATATCATAGAAAAATATAACTATTCTTTGCTTTAGTTGGAGATCATCTCAACTGCTCCCTTTGAAAATCATGAAGCAAACAAAAGATGTCATAAGGGGCGATGGAGCAAAGTTTTGCGCATGAAATGCGGATTTTACATGTGCAACATGATGAGATAAACACTAAATATGATGCCGTACTGACTTCAGTATCTTCGAAATTTCAAAATTTTGATACTCTCAAGGAATATGTGGACAAAAAATTCATGTCATGTTTCCATTTTCCTCTTCTGGCTTTATCTACCCAAGATTCATCTTGAATCCGTGTCCATTGACTTTTTCATTAACCAGCTCCTTTCAGTCTTTTAGCTGTTGTCTTATCTAATCTTCAAATGATTATTCATATGAGAGAGAGAGAGAGAGAGAGAGAGAGAGAGAGAGAGAGAGAGAGAGAGAATGTTTTCCTGAATATATAATAATGCAGCAAATGGGTTTATTCTTTTTAAGTATATGACACATGCATCGCACAAAAGCACATATTAAATATATTTAATAAATAAATATTTGTTTCTCAATACAACCTATAGTGCATCATCAAGTTTTAGATGATTATCCTTCGTGTAGACCAATGTGAGAAAGGTTCTAACTCCAGTCGTGTTTAACCTAAAAGGCACAAACTGAGAAATATTAAGGGAATTCTAAATTCTTCCCATACGTTCAATACAAGTTATGATAATTCAGTGCCAAGGATTTGATTGAAGGGAAGTGGAAGAAAAGAAAGATGTTAAAGTAGGTGGAAAACGGAAAAGATGGTTTTCCAACGAAGGACATCCTCACGTCTTTTTTCTTCAATCTAAAAATAATATAAAAAAAAAGACCATTAAATCAAGTCAATCACATATCAAGAAATCGTGAGTGAGATTTACATTAGACACCGTTAGAAATCATAAGTTTTCATCCTATTTATTTTATTGCGATTAATCGATTCGCTATATTATTCATGAAACGAGTCTATCTAACATTTTTCTCAAAGAAAATATATCAATATGAGGTAACACATCCACCTCCTTATAAAAGGTCAGTGCAACTCCTCCACTCCATGCTCTTATTAGACTTCAGAAACCTCAGCTGTATATTCCTCCAGCGCATCTCTCTCTCTCTCTCTCTCTCTCTCTCTCTCTCTGCGCCATTTCCTTCATTCCTTAGTCAAAACTCCAAAAAACACCGATCAAGATCCTACAAGCTCTTCATCGATGTCCACTTCCAAGACCTCGGAGACACACTCAAAAGGACTTGAGCCAGGCTATGCTCAGCCGGGCTTCTGCATCCTCCAGAGGAACACTGCCCCGCCGCAGCCCGGGGAGAGGCGGGGCCGTCGGAAGCAGGCCGAGCCAGGGCGGTTCCTCGGGGTGAGGCGGCGGCCATGGGGACGGTACGCGGCTGAGATCCGGGACCCCGCCACCAAGGAGAGGCACTGGCTTGGCACCTTTGACACTGCCCAAGAGGCTGCCCTGGCCTATGACAGGGCTGCTCTCTCCATGAAAGGCACACAAGCAAGGACCAACTTCTTGTACTCTGATCACTATAACCAAATCCAAAACCCTAATAGCTTTCACTCTCTTCTTAGCCCCTTTGAGGTCCAAGCACTTCTAACACCTTCCTCACACTTCTTCACCACCGCCGCCGCCGCCAATAGTAGTCAAGCAAAGAACCGACCCACCAATCACAGCAATCCACCTCAGCCCACCAGCACTTACAAGACAACCATGATGCCAGACCAATCCTATGAGGAAACTTGTCCTGAGACTAACTCATGTGATGACTCTGACGCAAATCAAGATAGCAACTATAACGACTTCTTCCTCTTTGGTGATGATGATTATTCAAACTCCGGCTACTTGAACTGCATTGTACCTGACAACTGCTTGAGACCTCCTACTAGTGCTCACGATCCTCCCAATGCAAAGCCTAATATTCTTAGAAGCTACTCTAGCGCTTCAAATTTCATGGGATATTTTGAGGATAACGATTTTTCACTTCCACGAGATGTGATCCCTAACTCAGGAGGTGATATATTTGGTGCCAGTGAGCTTTGGAGTAGTGATCAGATGACCTGGGGGATGGACTCGGGCGAGCTTGCCGCCGTGATCAGTGGCCCAGCGATGTCAGGGAAGACTGAAGAGGGGTGCATGGGAAGTTTGCACACCGCGGCCGAGAATAGCAGTTATAGCTTCTTGCCTCAAGCTGCTCCTAATTATTATGGGGAAGCATCAGTCGAATATGGAGGATACTCTCTCTATTGATATAGGTGCAATGCAACTGTGTCATTTGAAGAGCGTGCGTGTGCGCTTTGAGGTTGATCGTGTTATTACATCGCAAGAGTTCTCATTTGATTTTTCTTTCTAGGATCTTCGGTAGTAGTGCATGTGTAATTCACATCATCGTCAAGCTTTAATATAACCCATGCTTGATGGAAAACGATATGGCAATGTTGTCTATTTTGATGCAATGCTGATTGCTCATTAATTCATCTATTATGTATTGTTTGGAGCAAATCTCCACCGGCCTCCACATTTGATGTATAACATGGTTGGCTGGCGCTTGTCTCTTGCATGTAAGTTACTAGGGTTTTAGGAGGATCTTTGCATGTAAGCATGATACATAGTCTCTCTTTTCGGCTGTTTAGCATTGAGGTGACATCTTTTCTTCAAAGTATAGTAAAACAAGAAAAAGGGTAAGGAAAAATGTTGTATGAACTCAACTTGCGCACACGGATTTTGCTTCACCCAAACAATAAACTTTTGATTATGTGTGGTTTTGATTTAGCAGCGCCTTTAGATGCTTTTATCTAAATTCCAAAAAGGGTAAGGAATAAAAGGAAGTTAAAAATTGAGCAAATACAAAAAAACATGCTTGAATTTTTACCCAAAGACCAGAAACTTACCCTTACTTTGAAAATACATGTTTGCACCTTGAGTTTTAGCTCTACATTTCACTTTACATCATGCATCAGTTTTTAGTCTTTTTATTAAGGAAAATGCCATATTCACCGGAATAGGGGGATGCAGCGGTCGGCAACGATGGACACAAAGGTGGTGGATTGCACCACAATCAAATGCTGAAGAGGATGGAGGATGGTGTGGCTAACGGTGGTGAGTGGAGAGATTAGGGTTTTCGAGGAACTTGAAAAAAAAAGGAGCTTAAAATTCGATCTTTTCATGATGGGCTATTCTTTAGAGGCTTGAAAATGCGTTTAAGAAAGTAGAGGTATGAAAGTGAGGCATGTTTTTTGGTTATTTTTCCCTAAAAATTTGACTTTTTGCATATCGATTTAGTTCCTAAAAGTCCATATCTGATGTCAATACAACAGGATAAATTGATTGATGTCTAGGCTTCTTGGTTGTGAAAGAAAGATATTTCTGCAAAGAACGAAAATTATTTTCTACTGCTTCCTCCTAATTTATGATGGTCAGGTAGACATATAATCAATCCCATCAAGAATTAACCAATTAATGTGATTGTGAGAGAGAGAGAGAGAGAGAGAGAGAGAGCAATTAGGGAAGATGTGTATCCTCATGTCTCGTGCATATGATTTTATGAATCCGACGGTGTGAAACTCAACTAGTGACAAATTTGTTTTGGGTAGAACTCAACTAGTGACAAGTGACAACGACAGTGTGATGCCGCTCTTCTCCTGGTTGGGATCTACACGCATCTCTATCTTTCGAGAGATCGTCACGCCTGTTTTTCCTCCTCACAAAAAGGTCGAAAGGTCGATCGCGTGTCTTCAAAAGTCGCACAGTACGCGGGAGAATCTATCCATTTGCCAAAGAGTATTTACTACTTGAAAGTATTTTCGGCGAAAATAATTGCTACATTTGGTTGGAGATTACCTATACTCAGCCAATGCTCGTGATCACAGCCATGCTGCGAACGAAGACATTCATCTTCTTGGTGCTTCATGGATGCACACAAGCACATCTCTGCTGATTTCTCACCGGAAATGTGATTGAACATGACATACAGAAATAGATTTTTTGCATGTGTAACACTAAACATCTGGTCGTCAATTTGAGTTCTGCCAAATAGAACTGAGAATGATATTTCCCTTATGAGTTCTGTATCTGCAGAATGGGAAACCTTCTAGCCTCAAGGCTGTCCTTAACATACAGAAACAACCACAGATCAGGATACAAAGGAAAATCATCTTGTGAGGTAACGCAAAGTAAAGTCATCACAAAGCTTGATTGTATTCCTCGTATGTGTATATCGTAAATAGTATAAAGGATCAAGTCTATCCTTCATTGGCACAAAACCAAAAAGTTACATCTTCTCTACAGAAATTTGCATTGCAGCAATGCCCTCGGTCGACAGATGGACCCGGGATGAACAGAGAAAACCAGAATGATCAAGCGTGACGCGAGTTTCACTTTGAAGCTTGTTGCCTTAGTGGAAAGGCTTATAGGCAAACACTCAATTCCCATGATGAATGCCCAAGGACCGGAATTTCCCATTTCGGGGAAAGAATCGGATATAAATAACAAGCTCATGTAGAATCGTGGTGGGTATGCTACTGACTGCAGAAACTTTTTGCAGTTATTTGCGAGGGAAGGTGGATGACTAGATGGGTTTTGCTTTATCTTTGAAGATTGGCCATGTCTTATTCAAAACCTAGACTACGGTATGGCCCTATAATTAAAGAGCAGAGAGATGACCTAAGAGCTACAAAGAAATAATGTCACCTATCTGTTGAATTGCTCATAAGAAAATTGTGACGGTTCTCACTTTGTGGAAGGTCGATCTAAGAGAGGAGCCAGAGAAGTCCTGCTACATTCTTTTAGCCAGTGCTATGACCATCTTTGGTGTTGCAGCTAGCTGGATTTGCAGAACTCAGATCAGGCATTTGGGCAGGCGCAGGCCCGCTACTTGGACGTGCTGACCCAACCGATGTAACTGACATGCTTGTTGTCGAGGATGATCTTGTGGGCAGAGAATCTTCAGTGGGTCCGGAGATGATTTCGGCCCTCAACTCTGGAGATGAGTATGACGGATAGAGCATTCCGAAGGAAAACCCAGCAGGGAAAGGAGCGATGGGTATGTCTCCAAGAGAAGACACGGATGGATTGTAACTGAGGGACCCAAACGAGTGATCGAATTTGCATGCAGGACCAAATTTGCAGTCTCCACGTGCAAAGTGCATGCAAGGAGGTGCGCCCTGCAAAAGAAACAGCTGCATAAGTTAAGGATCACAAGCAAATTGTAGATACGCAACTTCTAGAGCCTTAAGCACAATGACAAGTACTAGCAGTGATGTGAACAGAATGGCAAATACACAGTACATATCACAGATGCAGCTTGATCGGAACTTGCAGGAGCAAAAAAGTAAGGGATGATTAGCAATTGGTGACACTAAACGAGAACCAAAAGAAAAATGACAGAAAAAAAGAAGAATAATCTCAAATAGCCGTGGCCTGCAGGTTATTCCACAATTAGCAACCTGGGTGGAAAACCCAGATTAACCAGAACAATCAACATCTTTCCATAAAAAATGAGCACCCCACAAATGAGAAAGACCTAATGAAACTTCAATGTGTTTTTGATTGTCACATCCTTTCAATAAATCAGTACAAAAAGATCCATAAAGATATCAAAGGAAACATTCGAAATAGTAGTCACGGTTTATTGTGAGCATACTACCTAATCATATGCTATCAAAATACAAGTACCTATCCCAGTTCCTTAACAAAAGCAACAAGCAATTTTGGACTACGATTGCCATAGCCCTCGGAATATTGGTCACATAATGTAATCTACAGCATCTGCTTTTTTGCAAGTGCAGCTGAGCCAGGGGCTTTGGAATGGAAGATCATCAAACAATTTAAACCTCTCAAATGTTCTCATTGCTTAAGAAGCACAAATTAGACAATTTGAAAAGGTGAAAACATTAGTATATTTTTCGGTAGCATTAGCACCTTCATCGGCACTAGACAAATGCATTAGGAGAATACATCTATAACTGGTACCAGAAAAAGTAGCAAATCAATTAAATATTTCTTGCAGCAAGCATCTCCCGTACTCAATCTCATGAAACACGAGAACATGTAACTTGTCATATATAATTTACTTCAAGTTATCCATGTGCCACACAGAAATAAGAATATGGCAAGTTGTCCACGAGTATACAGTGGAAACAATTCCGTCATCTTTAGCTCCCTAGGCATCTGTACTTCGATGAAGAGTTCAAAAAGTTTCAAAAGGCTAAAAGAGCCAACCAGGGTGAAATACACGATCCAGAACTACCCGTCTTTATCTGAAGGATAATATATTTTGACATATCATTTGATGGTTGGGCATACCTCTTAATAAGTCAATGCAGCAATATTTCATAATAAAATATCCAACAGAATCCACGGGAACAAGAAACGATTTAAAGCTGCACTTAAACGGATACTAAATGGTTATACAGAATGTCCTTGTAGATACTAGGAAGACCATTATTTTCATCCTATTCCGTAAGATTTATTAGACTAGAGCTCAAAGCATCCAGCATATTGAGTTACAGATCCAACTGGAAATTGGTTGACCAAGAATTACCCTGAGGCCAAAAGAAATTTGCGAAACAGGAATTCCTCTTTCAGACTTGCACATATGTTTTCTTCGCCCCCTCTCCTTTAGGTACAACTAACTTGGCAAATTTGTATGCACAAATTGAATGCCAACAATTCCTCTTTCAGAAAGACACTTAATGAACCATCCAGAAAATTCGATTCATCATAAGCCGCAACTGCTCTCAATCTTGAATATAACTATGTCCATACTTCACATAGAAATCTCGGCAAAGACAGAAAGCAGGAATGAGATTCTTACCGGACGAAACGGCAGACCAGTGGGGCTAAGAACAAAATTTACATTCAATGCATTCAAGTCCGGTGGATGATGGTATTTACACGAGGATCCATATTTACAGTCCCCTGTCTTCATGTAATGCTGGCATTCAGGTTGCCCGGGTCTTTCTGGAAATGATGGCTCCCTCCGGCCATTGACTGAAGGGCCAAGAGACGAAGGCGAAGGTTGATAAGGCCACGAAAAAGCCTGTGCAGAAGGAGACAACTGCGTTACCCCATAAACAGAACTTGATCCTGGACCAGCTTGAGGACCGGAAGAGGCTAATGGACTCACAGGTGCCTGAGCAAAAGAGATAAGTGATTAAAATGTGCTTAGATCTTGACACAAATGCAAGAAAATTGGATTTCATCAACCAACCTGATAAGGACTCCAGCTTGAAAATGGAACCATGCTTGGAGAAACCAGCAAAGGGCCATACGGGCCTTGTACATATGAGGGAACCAAAGGAGGCCTGGCCATGACTACCCCATACTGCTGCGACGAAGGAACAGATGGGGATTGCACTGCTGGATACGATGAAGGTGCAGCTACAGGGATAGGTGCTGGTGCAACTGGAAGTGGCGGTGATGGCGCATGAACATGTACGCCTGCTGGTTGTGGATGATGAAATTTACACGTTGCACCGAACTTGCATTGTCCGGTTTTCACGTAGTAGGTACACTCTTTTTCACCCTGCCACACAATCATGGATGCCGTTCGGTGAGCATGAGAGTAAATCCAGCTCATATGAGAAATAGGATATTAAGCTGCAATTCAAATACAAACCGGACGAAAGGGGTAACCATAGTAATTTAGCCGTGCAGGACTACTGGAACCAGCACCATGCCTAGGATGGTGGAACTTACAGGACGCACCGAACTTGCACGTACCTGTCCTCACGTAGAACTTCGAAAAAAAAAAAAAAACTATGTCAGACATGAGAAGAAGAAGAAAGGCTGATTGAACAAGACCAAGAGATATCCTTCAACATTCATAAAACGCATGAGCTGAAAGAGTTTCAACAATGTTCCTCGACCATAGCGAAAACTAAGTAGTGCAACATTAAACAAGTGAAATGATCGTATATGAATACCTGGCAGATCGGCTGGCCTGCTCGTTCTGGGTACTCTGCTCCACCAGCTCTTGTCGCTCCTACGACCTGCGCAGCATCCGACATCCACATTTCAATAGTAATAATCACCAAACCTATAAGGGTCATCACCTCGTTACCAATCCGTATAGATCTTCTAACAATGCTCTGATCACTTTCAAATCCATTGCCATTGAAATCAAATTTAGTAAGCTTGACAACAACGGACAATCCCACCTTATCAGTTCTAGTAACAATCCAAAATCGCCAACAAATCTAATCACAGCACCGCCGTAACAAAAAAATAAAAACTACAAGATCGCCACCAAAGTGGCCTCACGAAGCCAAGCGATCACGCCGAAAACCAACCCTGGAAGACAATAAATGGCAACGAGAAGCAATTCCAACAGAGTTACCGCGCTCCGATCACGGGGATGATTGAACCGACACCTGGCGCCGTACCCGCAATAACCAGTCCTGAGGTAGTAGATACAATCGGCTTCGTCGGGCCGCTCCGGGTAAGCCGGGTCGGGCTCGCCGCCGCCGCCGCCGCCGCTCCCCAATCCCAGCTGCCACATGGGCTCTGCATTTTTCGGCGCAACCAAGGGATCAAAAACCCCGCCTTCACACCCCGATCACCCCCACAAAAACAAAGAAGAAGAAAAAAAAGCCAAAACTTTCGCCCTCGCCCCTCCGAAACCCAAAATGCAGAGCGGCGGCAGGACTCACCTTCGAGGCCCGTGTCGGCCCCGGAGTCGTCGGGCCACTCCGGCGAGGGATCCGACCGCGAGCCCTCGTGGGCCCCACCGTACCCATCCATCGTACGGAGCCGAAAGTTGGGGAAGGGGGGGCGATCTTCAAGAAACCAGACCCAGCTCACACACAGAGAGGAGAGGAGAGGAGAGAGAGGAATAAATACGGCAGCAAATGGCAGAAGCGCCGCTCAGCTGGTGCAAGAACTGGGCTCCGATCAAATGGGTGGTGGTAGGCTTCAAGTTCCTCCCCCTCTCTCTCTCTCTCTCTCTCTCTCTCTCTCTCCAAGAATTACTGCTTCTTCACACCCAGACAACCCAGAGAGACAGACAGGGAGAAGGAGGGGGATTGGTTGGTCCTGTGCTCTCTGCTCTTCAGCTTCTCCTCCTCCTCACACACACACCCACACACACACACACACAAGAACTGTGCTCTCTCTCTCTCTGTCTCTCTCTTCCTTTTGGTGGTTCTGGTTTTGGTTTTTGTGGGTTCTCTTGTGTCCCCCTCCTCCCCCCCTCCCTCTCTCTCTCTCTCTCTCTCATCACTCTGATGCAGTGTTGCTCCCTGCGGTTTTTAATTGGGTTTTTTTTTTCTCCCTTTTTTTTTCCCCTCTGTCCTTTTTCCCTCTTTTCTTTCTTCTTCTTTCTTTTTTTTTTTTGGTGATCTCTTTCCGCACTCGTGCGCGCGTGGGCGATCTCCTTGCTTTCCTGTGTCTCTCTGCGTGCGCGCGTGTGTGGCGGGAGGAAGGGACGCGGTGGTTTGCGTACGCGCCAAATTCAGGAGAGATGTTCCCCCCCCCTAACAAAAAGAGAAAAGAAAAAACGAAATTCAACAGTCGACCTGCTGAATCGGTTATTATTATAATTATTAATTTATCGTTTCATTAAAAAAATTCACTTCTCTTTGATTTTCTTTTAATTTTTATTTAATTTATCGGTTTGGTGTTTTTTTTAATGAATGGGTCTGTCTGTGAGTTAGAACCGGTAACCAACGAGCTGTTGGTTGGGTTCCCGAAATGTCGGAAATGGCCTCGACTCCTGCCCGCGTGTCCGGAGATCCGGGCCCGGTGCCTGGACAGATCCGTCATTTCGCCCGAGGGAGGGGGGTGATGCATGGGTGGTGTAATAAAGGTGGGATCCGTCTTCTCTTTTGGGGAAAGATGGTATCGATGGACCGGCGCGTGCGTGCGTGCGTACGAGAAGGCACGGTCGTTCTATTTTATGGGTTGAGTGCTTCTCAAGTTACTCCCGACCCCTTGGACAAGTTCCGCCTCCCCCCCCCCCCCGCCCGGGACGGTCGATCGGATTCGTGATCTCGTGAAATGCCGATGACCTTTAGTAGCCTCTGATTATTCGTCGTCCTCGCGCAAAAAAAAAAGACTGGATTAGACTCGGTATACCGATACATTCTCTTAGAGTGATGGATGGTGTTTTCGTTTGAGCGAAAGAACTTTTCGCGAATTAATTTTCTGAACTTTCACGCGTTTTGGTTTGGTGAAAATGACCATTTGCGGTTTAAGAAAATATGTGTGCTTAAAGTTGGGAAGATGGATTCTCTAACAATAAAAAAAAAGGAATGCATTTTTCCTAAAACAAGGATTTCTCGGAAAGTATTTATTTTATGATGAAATTTTCTCAAAAACAAAGACAATCTTATTTATTTTGATAATCATTGACAAGGGGATTGCCGGACCCTGTGACAATTGGTCACGTGTTTAAAGAGTCTCACAAAAAAAAAACTTTCAATAAGGTATCACTATTTACTGTGATACCTTATTGATATCAAAAGAAATTAGATAACTTTCAATCACTTCAACTTAGCCGAAACTCTCATTGCCTCAAAAAAAAAAAAAAAAAACAGGCACACGCACACTTAGAATGGTAAATTCAAATCACCGATGTCAAAACTCTCGCTCTCTTCTTCCTCGACCCTTAGCTTGGCGACATGCCAGGCAGCTATTGCCATATGACGTAGACAAGAGTCTTTCTGCTTCCAATCAACTTAACATCGACTCTACCTCTCTTGCAGCCTCTCTCTCTCTCCCTGAGATTCAATGCTGCCGATGTCAGGGGCAACACAACAATGATTGGAGAGGAACGGTCAAGGCAATTAGGGACATGAAAGATTTGAATTGAGGACCTCCTGCTTCCATACCATGTGAGAATTGTAAGGTCATTGCCAACTGTTTTAAAGTTTAAGCAGTTAGACTAAGACGTGATTTAACCGCTGGGGTTTATCCTAGTGGCCATCCTTCCTACTTGGGAATGGGAAGGTGAAGAGTTTAAATCTCCACTTTCTCAATAATGGTTAGGGGTGGGGACGTGCAGTTTCAGATATGGATTTCGATTCTCACGCCCTGCAAGAAGCAGACTAAAAGTCTGAGAGTGAGTTAAGAGTTAGAGTAGGACAGACAAAAAAAAGAGAAAGACTAAGACGTGATTTAATATTTCAATAGTGAAACAAGTGGGATTGAAAAAGAAAAGTCAAGGAGCAAAAGCAGAAAAGCGATAGGCGATAAATGAGAAGGAACAAATCTCAACCACTGAAAATTACACACGCTAATACGTCATTCATTTACAACGAGTACAAAGAAGATGTCAAAAAATGGAGACATCTCAATTTATCATCTCACATGTTAAGACCGAAAAAGAACGATCATGCTTTTGATTAAATCAAAAGGGAATTCCATCACCACAAGAGTCTTACTTTTAGGGGACAGTTTTGAAAATATTATTAGACAGTTTTGATACATGACTTTGACTACACATGTTCATAGCTAACACCATGGTCTTTATGAATGAAGTACAAACACAACTTTTGCTTGAAAGAGTATCATTCGAATTTCCTGAGCAAGACTCATAACTATACATGTTCGCGATTGCTTTAGCCACCGTTCAATTGATTGAATTATAGTTTTTTTTGTATGACATACACGTAGTGTTATGCATTTCTCGGTTTGCAATAATCGATTACTGCATAAGTCGATGAAGGAGAACGTCTTTGTTAATTCACGGCCACGTCACGCACGGATTGAGCCAGAGGCTCTATGTGGAGCTATTGATGAAGATCGGTACGCGCCGAGACCGTCCCCGAACTTTAGAAAGATTTGAAGAGCACCTTGCGAAATCGCTCCACAGTTCCATGCTCGAGCGCAGAGTAAGCGAACGGGGCTCGGGTGGAGCAATGGACGTGCACGAAATTAAACGTTTAGGAAATGTAAATTTGCATTGGAAGTGAAGTTGCATAGGATGAAGTACATGGAAAAGGAAACAACACGGAAGGGAAAAGTGTGGGAATTGGAAGTGCAAGGATAATGGGCTAAGCCCGGGTTCGTTTCCTGTGGGATTTTGGGCTGGGGTTTCGATTGATATTGGGCCGTGATTCAAGCCCCAAAGAGAAGCAAAGATAGCTACATCCATTTAAGCAACAAAATGAAGGGAAAATAGTCGAAAAAATCATAAATTTATTATGGATGGCGGTCAATTCAATCTTAAACTTTTCAATTTGATCCAATTTGGTCCTAAACTTTTTTGACGATTTCTCAATGTAGTTGTTCCGACAAATTTCGGCCGTGAATTGCTGAGTTGGGGGTTATGCTATGCAGGACGACTAATATCTACGTCGGTAATTTTCAGTCAAAATTGACCGAATAAACTATATGGGCAAATCGTCAAAGGGTTGAGAACTAAATTGACCAAATTAAAAAGTTTATAACCGAAATTGGCCGATATACAATATGTTTAGGGTTTTATGGACAATTATCTCCCAAAAAGAAACATCAAAGTTAAAATACGCATCACTCTTTACTACGCAAACACATGATTAAAAGATTTTTTTGGAGCAAAGATAATGAAAACTCCTAAGAAATCTAGGAGACATCAATAAAGTTTTTGCTTGTGGTTAGGATAAGTAAATGCCGTCGTCATTAATTTGTTAAAAACCACTTAAAATTACTTTTAAAAGTGTAATCAACGGAAGGACTCAATTAGATCGATTTGATAAATTTCAGGACTTGATTGCACCTTTAAAAAGTTTTATGACTTAATTATATTTTCGTGATAAGTTTTAGGACTTCATTACACTTTGTGAAAATTTTAAAACTCAATTATACTTTGACGACAAATTTTAAGAGTTTCAACCAATGCACTTACCCCTAAATTTAAAAGACTATTTGTCGCATTTCCCCTTGCTTGAGAGGCATGAGCGGCGTCCGTTCGTCAACACAAGCAAAAACCAACATCGTCCTCGTGCGTGCCCCGTCCTCGCCGCCCGTCGCCGGATTCCCAAAACCCCCATGCTCAGCCGCGCTCGCAAAGCCCTCCTCCGACTCGGGGCTTCTTCGCTTCCTCCACCACCACGAGCTCCAGCTCCAGCTCAAGCTCTCCGCCTGCTCAGACCGGCCTCGACTTCCTCGAAGAAGAAGGCGCACCACCCGTTCACGGTCTCTTACCTCATCGGCTCTTGCGGGCTGTCCCCAGAATCCGCTCTCTCCGCCTCCAGGACCGTGCAGTTCGCGAGCCCGTCGAGGCCGGATGTCATCCTCGATGTCTTCAGGAACCGAGGTTTGTCCCCGACCCAAATCTCGTACGTCGTCAGGAGATACCCCCGGATGCTCGTCTCGAGCCCTGGCAACCTGTCCACAAAGCTCGAGTTCTTGTGCTCTAGGGGCATTTCGGGTCAAGAACTGGTCAAGCTCGTGGTCGCGGTTCCTGCGGTCCTGACCAGGAGCTTGGGCAACCATTTGATACCCACTTTCGAATACATAAGCGGCTTGCTTCAGTCCGATGTTAAGGCTGTACAATCCATCAATAGGAATCCGAGGATCTTGTATAATGACCCTAAAGTGCGGCTTGTCCCTTGCATTGCGATTCTGAGGGACTGTGGAGTGCCTGAAGCGAAAATTAGGTGGGTGGTCCTGTTCCAGCCGAGCACGTTCTTCTTGAGGTCGGACGTGCGGTTCGACGAGGCGGTGAGTCGGGCGAAGGAGATGGGTTTCGATCCTTTGAGGACGAATTTCCTTCTGGCTTTGCAAGTGATCAGGGGGATGAACAAGTCGACGTGGAGGAGGAAGGTCGATGCTTTTGGCAAGTGGGGTTGGTCCGAGGAGGACATCGTCTTGGCTTTTAGGAGGAATCCGTGGTGTATGTCGATGTCGGAGAGTAAAATCGCGGGGGTGATGGACATCTTCGTGAACGAGATGGGGCTTGACCCTTTATATATGGCGCGGCATCCGACAATGATGATGTTGAGCTTGCAGAAGCGAATCGTTCCTCGGTGTTTGGTGTTTTGTGTTCTGCTGTCCAAAGGTTTGATCAGGACGACACGTAGCTTGAATGGATTCCTTGGTGTCCCAGAGAAGTTGTTCCTGGAGAAGTTTGTGACTGCTAATTTGGGAAAAGCACCCGAGTTGTTGGATCTGTATAATGAGAAGATGCGTAATAGTTCTACCACCTTAACTTTGGGTACTTTGTGAAACCAAATGATTCCGATGACCATGAATCCAATGGAAAAGTACTGCCTTTCTGAAATCCCTTAACTGAAGATGGAAGCTTGAGGTCTAGCAGGGACGCGTCTGGTTTTCCCTTCTCTCTGCATTCGCTTACTCAGCTAGCTTGCTGATTTGTAATTCTTTTAAATTCTTCTTGTTAACTGTTTTCCCCTGATGCACATTTATTTTTAAGTTCACTTGTACGAGGAATAGCCCATTTCTAATCAGTTACCGATGGAGGACTTCTTTAATTGTGCCTGCAATTTAATGAAGTGAAACAGAAGTGATCGGTGCCCGGCGGCATCTCTTAAATCGACAAGTTGGAGCTTGTTTTTTGTACTGAAACAGAAGTAATCCGTAGCATCTTTTAATGAGGATGTTGCTGTGCGTACTAGTCCATTGAATTTCTGATGTTCCGACTTCTTGAAATTCTGCATCACTGCTGAGGATATTGCTGCATCGCACTCTTCCCTGATATCCTGAACCTGAAGTTACTTGTCGCTCAAGATTATGGAGTCTTAATATACAATTATGGGAATACACGAGGTTTCTGAGACACAGATGTTGGTTTTACTACGATGTTGTTTCATCGGAGGCCGGAGTTTTTTTCAACCCGAATTTGCTCAACACAGGTGTGCTGGATGCTACGGATCAGAGGAGGAGACAATGACGGAAAATGCTGCAACTGATTCACTTTCACCTATCTTGTCAGAAGTGTAGGGCATGTTTCCTCTTTTCCATTGTTAAGCTGCTGGAACATGCATTGTAGAAAGCATTTGAATTATCTGCCGAGCAGTTGATAGAAGGATCACCTGGATTCCTCGGAGATTTCAGATTATTAGTACCAGCAGGCCCTGGTAAGCGCGTCCTGTTTTGTGATTGCGTCTCTTAAAGATCGAATCTTATTAGCTGCTGCGGAGTCGGGGAGACACTTGAGGTGGTGAGTTTCTCAATCTTCTCAACCGAAAGCCTCCCAAAGTGGGACTTCATTTGCTATGGTTCAATCCTAATGTCTTAGACTCGAGTCAAAACAGAGATGTGTTCGATGATGCTATGGACCAATCGAAGTTGCTGGCGTTAATCCTTTTGGATGTGCGCCTGTCTATGCCGGAGATGCTAAAAGAGGAGAAGTGATATGCTACAAGTTGCTGCAACTGATTCATCCATCTCGTGACGGAGCTGATTTTCCCGGCCATCGTTCAAGCTTGTGCAGAAAATGTTGGTTCATCGGCTTCTGGACCATGAAGTACTTTCGAATATTTTCACTTTTCTATGGCTCACCAAGGCTAATATATTTTTGCCTGACTACAAATAGTTAAGTTTACTAGAAGGCAAAATTTCAACAGAAACTAAAAGGTGGTAATTAGACAAAGTTTTTTTAAGAGTGTACTGAAACTGAAACTTGAGGTTTAGTTTTTCTTGTCGGAGTTGGGATGGAGCAGCATGAATTGAGACGACAGTCGTCGCTGCCACTACATAACAAACGTGATTACATGGCCAATTGATTCATTTTGTTCCATCCTTCTCCGAGTCTGTTTCGCATATACAGTCAATGTCGACAACGGAGACGGTAGCTTTACTCGACCAGGTTACCCCTGTGGTCGCAGCATCAGATGCCTCCGACATGACTCTCAAAGCCCTGTTTACAATTAGGGATCTTGGGCTTCCCTCCGCAAACTGAATCGCTTCATCATCTGGTCTGATCAGTATCGACCTCATCTGGGTGGGTAACATAGTGATTTATATTCTCTCACCTCGTAAAAATTCAGGTGGGCTGTCTCCAGAATCGGCTTTTTTAGCATCCAAGCTCGTCGATCATGAATCCATATCAAGACCCCGATTTGGTCCCCAATTTACTCGAGGACGGGGATCGGGGATCCAAAATTCGGATAAGGTTTGGCCGACTCGTAGCATCGCAACAAGTTACTCCTGTGATCAAAAGGCGGATTCTGATTTCGAAGGCAAGGGCCGATACGATTGAGATTGACTTTTAGTAAAGTTACCTTGCCTTATGAAGAAGCAATAGTTGCATCCTTCACATTGCATCCATGTATCCATGCCACCCGTATCCACCACCAGGTTTGGAGAATCCTGTGGGAGATCTCCTACCGTTCTTGAAGGTGAAGGGGTCTGACCTGACTCGTCCCTTGCTGTAGCAATTGGAACGTCCAGATCCAAGGTACGTTTTGTTGAAGAGACGAATGTCGTCTTCACATAGCTCAGGAAAACAAAGGAGACTGCCACAAGGGAAGGACTAGTATGTTTGCCATTGACTTTCTGTTGAAGCTGTCCTGCCATGTATAGAAGCAACGGGTGCATCCTTCACATTACTACCACATATTGACACTACCCATGTCCACCAATAAATTCGGAGGATATGGATGAGTGCTAACTGACAAGGCGGTTAAACAATAATAGCCGAGAATACACCTATAGCAATCAGAGATAGTAGCCTGTTATGTTTGCGCCCTATGGACACCTTCCTATCCGTTGAAGTCCAAGGAAACCCGTGGATTCGAGTTCGCCGACACAAACTCGATTGGGAAATACCGGAGATTTTTTTTTATATCTTTCTTCTAAAGTGAGATTCTTAAGAAAGAGAGCGATGTCAAATTAGTCTATGGTAATGAGCTTGATACCGGAACTATAAGCTTCATGAGGCTTGGTGGTAATAAAGAAATCACCCACCCATCGGTGGCCGCGTTGGTTTGCGCTCAATTCCTTTCACGAGAGGTCCTGGGTTCAAACTCGCCCATCGGTGATTTAAGTGGGGGGTCGTGGTGGTGGGATCTTGCGCTAGCCCCTCGAGGACTAGTCGGGTATCACGCCGTGGTTTGGCCTGCTCCGCATACGGACACCTCGATTATAAAAAAAAAAAAAAAATCAAGTGAGAAAGGCCCCAAGAGATAGATATGCGCTTCCAAATGGATCATACAAGAATCCCCCACATTGTTAATCCTTTCCCACACCTAATAAATTAAGTTGAGGAAACAATAATTGCAATAGCTCACGCTCACATGTGAGAGACACATTGAATTACCCACTAGTCTAGAAGTAGAGAAAATTCGTTAATGATCCAGATTTAACATGAAATTTGCTTTTTCAAAGTTAAACTAGTCTTGAATTTTTAGTGATTTTTAGAAGATATGGAATTTAATTGCTTCATATCCATATCTCTCTATGCAAAAACATCACAATTATAATGTGCTATTGAGGTGCTATGAATGTGGACATTAATTAAAAACACTAAATGAAGTTACATATCACGGTTTTGTTAGCTAGTGTTTTTAGGATAGTGGTTAATCATACTCAACAAGGGAAAATTCTAAATGGGGGCATGCCTAAAGTGCTCTCATTTTCTCAAATAAGGGCCTAAAGTGAATTTTGTCTCAAATAAATGCATGAAGTGCCATAATTTTTTCAAATAAGAGCGTAAAACGGACTTTGTCTCAAATAAAGGCCTAAAGTTGTCATATCAATCTTAAAAAAGAACTTGACTTCATTGGCCGAAGGGCATTTTTGTCATTTATTTTTTTGAATATATTTTCATTTTTTCTTTCTTTTTCTTTTTCTGTTTTTTTCCTTTTCCTTTTCTTTTCTTTTTCAATTTTCTTTTTCCTCTTCCCTCCGCTAGCCATTGTGGAGCCTCGTTGATGGTCGGCATAGGTCGCTAGACTCAGGCGAGACACTGGCGAGGCTCCTGGGCTAGGTGGGCAAGAGCTGCCCTCACCAACCTAGGCCGCCGGCGTCTGGTGAGGCCTCGCCCAGGTTGGGGCAAGGGTTGGCGACCCTCGCCACCCTCTCCCACTTCTAGCGAGGGCTTGTTGGCCCTCGCCTCTGGTCGACAAGGGTCGTCGGCTATCACCGTCACTCCACCGGTGATGGGGTGGCGGCCATAGGCGAGAGGGAGTAGCCAGCCCGTAGGTATTTTTTCTTTTTTTCTTTTTGATCTAATTTAACTAAAATTTATATTAAAATTATTTTTGGACGAAAATATCCTTAACCAGCAGGAAAATTTGGCTGGCGAGATTAGGCCCTTTATTTGAAACTATTATAGCCACTTCAAATAAAGGTCCACTTCAAGCTCTTACTTGAGAAAATGATAGCACTTCAGGCATTTATTTGGAATTTCCCAAATAACAAACTCTCTTTATCTGGGTATGTAACAAGTGCTCTGCATCTACTCGCCAATAAAATCCTCAAATTAACTTAGTGATTTGCGATAATTACATATTGGCTTTCCAATTTCTTCTTATTTGGTCCGCGACCGTTAATATTTGTATTGTAATATAAATAAATGATAACCAAGTTCATGAATTAGCTTTTGGATTCGCAAAATATTTTTTTTCCATTTATGTACATCATACTTCGGTTAGTAAATTTTTATAAATTCAAAAAGTTTCTTATTTCTTGTAAATTATATTTACTTGGTTAGTGTAATTTTACCATTCGTTGTTTTTTGGGTTAATACCAAAAAAATGATAATCAGTTTAGAGTTTTACCCTCAGATTCTCATATATTTACTAATTTATAATTTTTTGTGGTATTAATTCAATTTAACGGAGAGTAAATTTGTCACAAGTGCACCAGTTTGGAGTTTTTGGTAATAAAAAAATTAGTCTAGTGTAAATTTATCATAAGTGTACCAATTTGAGGTTCGGATAAATTTATGCCAGTTTTGGATTTTTTATGATATTAACGCTTGTTTTTTCTCTCTGTTTTCAGGAAGCTCCGGAGTCTTTGATGTACCAGTTTGGAGTTTTTGGTAATCAAAAAATTAGTCTAGTGTAAATTTATCATAAGTGTACCAATTTGAGGTTCGGATAAATTTATGCCAGTTTTGGATTTTTTATGATATTAACGCTTGTTTTATCTCTCTGTTTTCAGGAAGCTCCGGAGTCTTTGATGGTTCGTGACCGGAAGTTCTCTAATCAACGAAGGTGAATCTGCGAGGGAGAGAAGGAAGAAGAGAGAGGTCAGTCGAATCGAACGTGATCTTGATTTTGATCTTGACTGTCATTGTACTCGCCATTGTCTCAGTCTCTAAGCCCCATGTTCAGTTCGCTCTCTAAAACCCTCCTTCGCCCCCCCCTGTTCATGCCCACCACCACTCTCAGATTAATCTCCACCGCCGCCGCCGCCACCACCTCGAATCGACCCTCTTTCGCGGTCTCTTACCTCGTGAATTCATGTGGGTTGTCCCCGGAATCGGCGTTGTTCGTTTCCGAACGCGTCAACTTCGAAACCTCGGCGAGACCCGACGCGATCATTGACGTCTTCAAGAACCATGGTTTCTCTCAATTCCAGATTTCGGGTATCATTAGGAAGTGGCCTTGGCTGATTTTGGCGAGTCCTGAGAGGACTGTCGGCTTTTCCGGCTCTGACCTGGCCAAATTGATCACTGCTGCTCCCTACATATTGACTAGGAGCTTAGAGAAGCACCTCATCCCCAATTTCGGTAGGCTTCGGGACTTTCTTCGGGGCGATAAGTATGCGGTTACGGCTATTAGACGCAGTCCGAGAATATTGTCACAAGGTCTCGAGGCTACAGTTGATCCTTTCGTCAAGATTTTGAGAGATAAGGGAGTGCGTCAATCGAGCATTGTGTGGTTAGTTAAGTGTCAGTCTAGGACGATGATAACGTTGTGTGGTCACCTCGATGAAATTGTGGAGAAAACCAAGGGGATGGGCTTTGATGATCCTTCTGCGTCAAAGTTCGCTGTGGCTATGTTAGCGATCACAGGGATGAGCGAATCGACGTGGGAGAGGAAATTCGATGCTTATAGCAGGTGGGGTTGGTCTAGAGATGATACCATGAGAGCTTTTGTGAAGTGTCCTTGGTGCATGGCCACGTCCGAGGAAAAAATAATGGCAATGATAGGATTCTTTGTCAAGGAAATGGGGTTTAAATCTTCATTTCTTCTGCGACATCCTTCGTTGATGTCGCTGAGCTTAGAAAGACGGATTCGTCCTCGATGTTTGGTTTTTAAACATCTGTCGTCGCATGGTCTGATGAAGACGAAGATTGGCTTGACTTCCCTGTTGACGATTTCGGAAGTAGATTTCCTGGAGAAGTTTTTGACCCCTCATATCGAGGAAGCTCCGGAATTGCTGGATCTATATCAGGAGAAGAAGCAGATGGCGACGGGGACACTGGTTCCATGAAATGGCACAGGCTACCAACTAATTCGTTTGTCCCTCTTTCCTTAAAGGTTGTCATTCTGTTTATTTTGTGGCTCGTGTTTTGGCTGTCGATTCTTTAAAACTGTATTGTGTATCGATGGAGAACAGCTGCCTGCCATTTTTCTTGTGCAACCATGGGACAATGTCCATTGTTTCGCATTCTCCCTTTAAGTTGGTTCTTTATTCGTAGACTTCCTGTATACCTTGCCTTAAGGTTTAATGTTCATTGGAAAGCATGGCCTATATGATCCCTGATTGTAGGCTTAATAAGATAAAAAAGTTGCTCATGTATGCTGGTTGGTTCATTCTTTATTTGCACAAAATTTTCCAAACTGAGAAGCTTGTGGAAAGCGCGAAAAAGAATGAGGAAACCATAGCTCTAAATGCTTGGAAGCCTGAATCTTCTGATTCACAAGAACTCTTCAGAGTGACAGGTTAAAATTTGCATGCTTTGTTACGACTACTGTGGCTGTAATGTGCATTGATGTTGTGCATAATGGTTGTACAGCAAAGATAGATTGAAAGTTTGCTCTGGCAAACCCTGCTTCACCGCCCATCATTTTCACCTCCTGCACTCAGATTCATCTCCAGCACCGCCGCCGCCACCTTGAATCAACCCTCTTTTGCGGTCTCTTATTTCGTGAGTTCGTGTGGGTTGTCTCCTGAATCGGCGTTGTTCGTGTCCAACCATGTCAACTTCAAGGCCGCTAGACCCAACTTGGTCATTCACTTCTTCCAGAACGATAATGGCCTACTATCGATCCCAGATCTTAAAGATCACTAGGGACACTTCCTCAGCTGATCGTGGCCAGTCCTGGGATGACCCTCTTGCCCAAATTCAATTATTTGTGCTCTCTCGGCTTTTCCCACTATAAACCTGGCCAGAGTCATCACTGCTCTTCAGGTATGTTGATGGGAGCTTAGAGAAGGGCCTCATCGCTCTCCGCTCTTTATGGAACGATTGTTATCAGAGTTTCATTTTTTCTGCATGCTGCAGTCACATCATAAGGAAGGACAGTACTACCCAAAAATGCAAATGATTCAAGATAACTGGTATTTTGCAGAATGTATTTAGTAGAACAGAGCTCTTTATATAAGCTAGAGTGAGTTGGAAGTGGGCATTATGCGAATTAGTGAAAGCTTTACTGCTCGTTGTATTCGTCATGAGATGATGGATAGGAATCAGATTCGGAGGCCGGCAGGTCCACTTCGTGTTTTCTCTAGAAGGCGACGAATAAAGAGTGCGCATATGAGGAAAAGAGTCTAATGGAAATTTCTCTTTTTTGAATCATTTGTATAGAGGCTTCTGCCTCTTCATTTCATTGACATATTACATAAAGATTACTCGCTGCCTAAAGCCCAAGCCAAATATCCCGGCTACGTAATTATTTCGTTCGCTCCTCGCCCAATGCATGTCATAGTTGTCTAGGCCGCAACCAAACTCGATGTTGGAGAATCCTCTGGGAGATCTCCTACCGTCCCTGAAGGTGATGGGGTCTGACCCGACTTGTCCCCTGTTGTAACAATTGAAACGTGCAAATCCAAGGTATGTCTTGTTGGAGAGAATGTCGTCTTCACATAGCTAAGGAAAACAAAGGGGACTGCCACAAGGGAAGGACCCGTATGTTTGCCATTGACTTTCTGCTGAAGCTATCTTGCCTTATATGGAAGCAACGGGTGCATCCTTCACATTACTATCATGTATCGACGTGAATTCAGAGCATATGAACAGGTGCCAATCGACATGATGGTTAAAGAATAGCCAAGATTACACCTAGCAATAAGAGGTGTAGCCTATCAGGGTTGCGTGAAATGGACTCCTTCATATCCATGGAACTCCAAGAAAAACATGGATTCAAGTTGGCGGACCCAAACTCGATCGACAAATCTTGGAAATTCGTTGATATCTTTCTTCTAGAGTGAGATTCTTAAAAAAGAGAGTAATGTCAAATTGGTATATGGGATGAGCTTGATACCGAAAGTATAGGCTTCGTGAGGCTTGGTGGTAATGAGAAATCGAGTGAGGAAAGCCACTAGATGTGGTATTGTCATCGTTTCTTGTGATTAGATGTACTCGTCTGCACTTCAGAATGGATCATATAAGAATCCCCCGTGTTGCTAATCCTTTCTTGCTCCCTAATAAATTACATTTACAAAACAATAAATGCAATAGCTCGTGTACATGGGCACAATACCCTAAAGAGAAATGATTAAGTGATAGTATTTAATTTACCGTGAGATTAACAGCATATTATGTATCACAAAAATATAAATAAAAAATAACTATAAATTATTATGGAGTCTACTCCTTCAAGAATTTTTCACTCACAATATGTTGTTACTTTGTTAGTGCCCTAAAGACTGTTATGCTAGTAAAGTCCTACCCAAAAAAATCTCAATCTTTAGATTAAATCCCAATTTTACCATAAACTTTCACTCAAATCCACCCCTTAGCCATCCATCTTACATGTTCGACGTGACAATTCCACGTTGGCGATAAATCCACCTCAGCAAGCTAACGTGGATTTAAGCATTGTTCATCGTCTTTGCCATAGAGTCCTTGTTATTCCCCTTTTTTTTTGTGGCGTTTTCAGGGTTTCTTGTAATCTTGAGGAGCTGATTTAGGAGCCACGCTTGACCAAGAGAATCAAATTAGTTCTATTTTCCCCTTTGATTCTGTTTTCAATGCTTCACTTCACGATCTTTTGGTTATCCTCCATGGGTTTTGAGGTAGTCAAGCCCCCATGAACTCTATATGAGGTCGTCGTGCATGGCCACTCGACCTTAAATTCAAGGTCGATGAAGCCTCACAACCTCGATCCGAGGTCGTGGAAGCCATGGACAACCTCGACCGAGGTCGTCATGCATGGCAGCTCGGCCTTTTCTTGTGAAGCTCATAGGCCGAAAGTGTTGTTCATGAAGATATGCCACGTGCTCGCCCCTTCAGCTTTGCTCGTGGAGATTTCCCTTCATTTCGAAAAAGAAATAGACAAAAGAAGAAGAAAATGAACAGTAGGCGCAAAAGGGCAAAAAAAGAAGCTATGGAGAGGTCGAAGAGTGGAAATGAGCAGTACTTAAATTCATGTCGGCTTGCTGGATTTATCGTTAACGTGGAAATGCTACGTCGGATGCGTTTGGACTGAAGTTTTATGTCGGGGTAGATTTGATATATGAGTAAAAGTTTGAGATTTTTTTTATACAAAAAAAAGCATAGGGTAAAATTAAAATTGAAATTAAAAATTTGGGGCTTTTTAAGATTTCGGCATGCAACTCAATTAGAGACACATTGAATTACCATCTAGTTAATGCACTCTAGAAGCAGAGAAAATTCGTTGGTGATCCAAATTTAACATGAAATCTGTTCTATCAAAGTTAAAACTAGTCTTGAATTTTTCGTGATTTTTTAGAAAGATATGGAATTTATTGCTTCATGTCCATATCTGTCTTTGCAAAAAATAACAATGATAATTTGCTATTGAGGTGGTATGAGTGTGTACATCAATTAAAAACACTTAAACGTAGTTTTACATCACGGCTTTATTAAAAACACTTAAAACGGAGGTGGTATGAACGTGTACATCAATTAAAAACACTTAAACGGAGTTTTACATCACGGCTTTATTAGTGAGAGACGATGAAAATAACAATTTTTTTTTATTTGAGTACGCAACAAGTATACCAGATTTACCTGTTAATAAAATCCTTATATTAATTTAGTGATTTGTGATTATTAAATATTGGCTGTGGAATCTTTCCGCGACTGATAATATCCGTATTGTGCTATAAATGATAAACTGAATTCATGAATTAGCTTTTGAATTCGCAAAATATATATATTTTTCGTTTGTGTACATCATATTTCGGCCTAATACCCTAAAAAACCTCAAACTTTAGTTTTTGTCCCAATTTTACCTTTTATCTCATAAAAAAAAACCCCAAACTTTAGGTCATGTCCCAATTCTACCTTAAGTTTTTTTCTATCCTATAGAAAATCCCAAACTTTGGATCCAATCTCAATTATACCTTAAACCTTTTTTGTATAGTAAAAAACCCTCAATTTTGGGTTCAGTACCAATTCTACCATAAATTTTTTTGTCTCATAAAAATTCCCAGCTTTAGGTATAGTTTTAATTTCACTTTAATTATTTTTTTCTTATAAAAGATCATTAACAATTACTTGAGTCCCAAATTTGCTCTCCATTAACTCTTCATCAAAATAGCTCTTAGTGATTTGGCACTTATCGATCTCTCATGCTTAGGAATGTTTCATCTTTGGCGATTGGAGAGCTCGCACTCGGAATGCTCAAACAGCTCGTGCTCGGGACACTTGAATAACTCGTGCTCAGGAGTTTTCCATCTCTTGGTATCCAACGAGAAATTTTGGAAGAAGGGTTAATGTGTGCAGATTTGTGACTCAAGTATGTTTGTGGTATTTTACAAGACTATAAAAATTTTAGGGTAAAATCGGGACAAGACCTAAAGTCAGAGGTTTTTCATAGGACAAAAAAAAGTATATGGTAGAATTGGGACATAACCTAAAGTTTAGGGTTTTTTATGAGACAAAAAAAAGTTTATGGCAGAATTGGGACATGACCTAAATTTTGAGATTTTTTATGAAATAAAAAATAAAATTGGGACAAAAGCTAAAGTTTGAGGTTTTTTAGGGTTTTAGGCCATCATTTTTCGGTTCGTAACTTTTTATAAATCCAAAAAATATTTCTTAAAATTTTTTTATCTGTTTTGAATTATCTTTATATGGATTGCCAATTTCCTCAGCAGAGGTGAAAATTTCCAGATGCTGTAGAAGGACCCTTTACTTGGTCAGTCTTCTCAAGAAGCTCTGGAGCCTTTTGATGGTTCGTGACCGGAAGTTCTCTGTTCAACGAAGGTCAATCTGCGAGGGAGGGAGCGCAGGAAGAAGAGAGAGGTCAGTCGAGTCGAACGTGTGCCTTGAGATTGTGATTTGTACTCGCCGTCGTGTGTCGGTCTTGTAAGTCCCATGTTCAGTTCGCTCTCCAGAACCCTACTTCGCCGCCCCCTGTTCTTGCCCACCACCACTCTCAGATTGATCTCCACCACCGCCTCCGCCTCGAACCGACCCTCTTTCGCAGTCTCTTACCTCGTCAATTCATGTGGGTTGTCCCCGGAATCGGCGTTGTTCGTTTCCGAGCGCGTCAACTTCGAAACCTCGGCCAGGCCCGACGCGGTCGTTGACGTCTTCAAGAACCATGGCTTCTCTCAATCCCAGATTTCGGGCATCTTTAGGAAGTGGCCTCGGCTGATAGTGGCGAGTCCTGAGAAGACCCTCTTGCCCAAATTGAAGTATCTGCGCTCTGTCGGCTTTTCCGGCCCTGATCTGGCGAAATTGATCACTGTTGTTCCCTACATATTGACTAGGAGCTTAGAGAAGCACATCATCCCCACTTTCGGTAGGCTTCGGGACTTTCTTCGGTCCGATAAGAGTGCGGTTGAAGCTATTAGAGGCAGTCCGAGAATATTGTCACAAGGTTTCGATGCCACAGTTGATGCTTTCGTCAAGACTTTGAGAGATAATGGAGTGCGTGAATCAAGCATTGTGTATTTAGTTAAGTGTCAGTCGAGGATGATGATAAAGTGGTACGATCGCCTCGAGGAAATTGTGGAGAAAACCAAGGGGATGGGCTTTGATGATCCTTCTGCGGCAAAGTTTGCTGTGGCTATGTTAGCGGTCCTGGCAATGAGCGAATCGACTTGGGAGAGGAAATTCGATGCTTATAGCAGGTGGGGTTGGTCTAGAGATGATGCCATGAGTGCTTTTGTGAAGAGTCCTTGGTGCATGACATTGTCCGAGGAAAAAATAATGGCAGTGATGGGATTCTTTGTCAAGGAAATGGGGTTTGAATCTTCATTTCTTCTGCGACATCCTCGGTTGATGTCGCTGAGCTTAAAAAAACGGATTCGTCCTCGATGTTTGGTTTTTAAACATCTGTCGTCACATGGTTTGATGAAGACGAAGATTGGTTTGACTACCCTGTTGACGATTTCGGAAGAAGGTTTCCTGGAGAAGTTTGTGGCCCCTCATATCGGGGTTGCTCCGGAATTGCTTGATATATATTGGGAGAAGAAGCATATAACTAAGGGGACACTGGTTCCATGAAATGGCACAGGGTACCAAATAATTCGTTTGTCCCTCTTTCATTTAAGGTTGTCATTCTGTTTTTTGTGTGTCTCAACTTTTAGCTGCTAATTCTTTTGAACTGTATGGTGTATCGATGGAGAATGCCTACCATTTTTTTGTGAAACCATGGGAGAATGTCCATTGTTTCATATTCTCCCTTTAAGTTGGTTCTTTATTCGTAGGCTTCCTGTACACCTTGCCTTGAGGTTTAATGTTTATTTGAAAGCATGGCCTATATGATCCCTGATTGTAGGCTTAATATGATCAAATAGTTAAGTTGCTTATGCTGGTTCATTCTTTATTTGTGCAAAATTTTGCCAAATTGAGAAGCTTGAGGAAAGTGCCCAAAAGAACCATAGCTCAAAAGGCTTGGAAGTCTGAATCTTCTGATTCACAAGCACTCTTCAGAGTGACAGGTTAAAATTTGTATGCTTTGTTACAACTACTGTGACTGTAATGTGCATTGATGTTCTGCATAATGGTTGTACCGCAAAGATAGATCGTAAGTTTGCTCTGGCAAACCCTGCTTCACCGCCCACCATTTTCACCTCTCACACTCAGATTCATCTCCAGCGCCACCACCTCGAATCAACCCTCTTTCACGGTCTCTTATTTCATGAATTTGAGTGGGTTGTCTCCTGAACCGGTGTTGTTCGTGTCCAATCGTGTCAACTTCAAGGCCGCGAGACCCAACTTGGTCATTCATTTCTTCAAGAACAATAATGACCCGCTATCGATCCCAGACCTGAAAGATCATTAGGGACACTTCCTCAGCTGATTGTGGCCAGTCCTGGGATGACCCTCTTGCCCAAATTCAATTATTTGTGCTCTCTCGGCTTTTCCCGCTATAATTTGACCAAAATCATCACTGCTCTTCAGGTATGTTGATGAGATCTTGGAGAAGGGCCTCATCGCTCTCCGCTCTTTATGGAACAATTCTTATCAGAGTTTCATTTTTTTCATAACTCTCCATGCTGCACTCACACCGTAAGGATGGACGATGCTACCCAAAAAGGCAAATGGTTCAACATAATTGGTATTTTGCAGAATGTATTTTGTAGAACAGAGCTCTTTATATAAGCTAGAGTAAGTAGGACATGGGCATTAAGCGAATGAGCGAAAGCTTTACTGTCCCTTGATGTAGCAATTGGAACGTCCAGATCCAAGATAGGTCTTGTTGTAGAGACGAATGTCGTCTTCACGTAGCTCAGGAAAACAAAGGGGACCGCCACGAGGGAAGACTACCATCTATCAACACTACCCGCATCCATTAATAAATTCAGAGCGTATGGACATGTGCCAACTGATAAGGTGGTTAAATAATAGCCAAGATTACACTTAGCAATCAGAGGTCGTAGCCCATCAGGGTTGCGTCCTATGGACTCCTTCGTATCCACTGAACTCCAAGGAAAACATGGATTCGAGTTGGCGGACACGAATCGATTGGGAAATGTTGGAGATTCCTTGATATCTGTCTTCTAGAGTGATATTCTTAAGAAAGAAAGTAATGTCAAATTGGTCTATGGGGATGAGCTTGATATCGGTACTATAGGCTTCATGAGGATCAGTGGTAATGAGAAATCAAGTGAGAAAAAGGGGAAAATTACCAAAAAAGTCATAAATCTATTGTAATTGTGTCAATTTAGGCATAATTTTTTTTTTTGCTAATTGAGTCATGAACCTTTTACATCTATGCCAATTCAGTCTATCCGGACAATTTTGACTGAAAATCGCAGACATGGATGTTGGCCGTCCTATGTACATGGACAATTTTAATAATATTTTACTTTGTTTTTCAAATTTTTTATTAATTTTCCCCTTTTTTTTCTTTTCTTCATTTTTCATTCTTTACTTTTTGTTTTGCTTTATTTTCTTTCTTTTTCCCCTTTGCCACCCATCACTGGGCCTCGTCGATGGCCACCAGAGGTCCCCGACCTCAAGCAAGGGCAGCCCTTGCCGGCCCTAGCAAGGGCCGCCCTCGCCAACCTCGGGCAAGGGCTTCCTTCACCTAACATCGACGAGGCCCAACGATGGGCGGAGGAGGGAAAAAAGAAAAAACAAAGGAAAGAAAAGAAGAGAAAATAAATAAATAAATAAAGGAAAAATGCAAAGAAGAAAAAGAGAAGAAAAGAAAAAAATGGAAAAAATAAATAAATGATAACTCTATAAACATAGAGTTATTTTATCTACTTTAGGCAATAAATAATGCAATATTTGTTAGAATATATTTGGATTTCCTTTTATTTACTTAATTTTTCCTTATTTATGCAGAATATTGAGATATGGTGAAAATAAGGAAAATATGGCAAAAAGAAGGAAAGGAATATGCTACCCAGAGAAGAGTTAGAAGGTGGATATCACATCGTAAATTTTGCGATTTATTTCCTAATTTTATGCGAAAAAAAAGCAATTGCCTTATGAGAGGAGTCTTGGATGTTATCATATAAATAGGATAATTTGAGGGAATAGCTAGTTTTTTTTATATCATTTTTGTTTTCAGTGTTCTAGGAGTTTTTCAAGTATTTTGAAAAGAAGACAAAAGTGGTAACAGAATTCTTATTCTTTGATTCAAGATGTTTAGTTTAATTTATATTTTCATTTCTTCTTCTATTATATTTTAATTTTCTTTGTTAGAGCTACGACGTAACCTAACCATGATGATATGAATTTCATGTTTTTTATGCTTTGCAAGTAATTTCATTCATATGAGTTATATATTATTATGCTTAATGCCTTTAAGTGACTGGCCATCACTTGAATGATCTGATGTGCATGTTTGAGATTGAGAAGTGATAATATGTAATTGCTCATTATAATATATAACCATGAATTAAATGTAGATAGAAATATACTATGTTATTTATGTAACTTTCGGTGATAAGGTGGTCTAAAAGATTTATTGTAAACTGGGAATATTTACAGATTTTAATGCACTTATGTTTATTTAAATTCACATAAAGATATAGTGAATTGATAAACTGAGTAGGTTTGTTATACCTAAAAATATGATAGTAAATAGACTAGGAAATTTCGCTATCACATGTTTGATATTGTTCTTGTATGCATAAAATCTAAAATTCATATATAGTGGTTATGGTGAAATCGGATGCTCTAACATATTTTATCTGATTGATTATCTACCTTTAATTTCGAAAATTTCGTCTTTTAAAAATTGTCAATTTTTATTTACTCTCAATTCTATTTTGATTTGTTAGATAAATTTTAGAATTAGTCTATTTTTAATATTTAATTGATTTATTATCATCAATCTCTGTGGGACAATACTCTTCTTATCATTGTATTACTTGTTCAACACGTTCGTTGATACATGCAGAATTTTACGAACAATAAATATTTCGAAAAATATTTAAATATTATTAAAAATTATCCACGTTAGTGCCAACTGTACCACATAGGACAGCCGGTGTTCACGTCAACGATTTTTGGCTAAAATTGGCCAGATAGACTTAATTGACACAAATACAAAAGGTTTAGAATTCAATTGACAAAAAAAAAGTTTATAACTAAATTAGCATAAAATTTTTTTGGTAATTTTTCCTGAGAAAAGCACTAGAGACAGGCACTTCAGAATGGATCATACAAGGATCCCCTCAAGTTGCTAATCCTTTCTCGCTCCTAATAATTTACTTTGAGACAACAATAAATGCAATACCCTCTAGTTAATGCACTCTAGATTAGAGAAAATTCGTTTTTTTTTTATCTGTCATATCTTTAATTCTCTTCGCTCTTTGACTTTTGTTCTGTCTTTTACAAAGCGTGAAAGTCAAACCCGGTATTTGTTATACTAGCGTCTCTACTCCCTAATTCTTTTATCAGTGGGGCGCATGCCTATTGGCAAATTTGTTAATGATATAGATTTAACGCGAAATATGCTTTTTCAAAGTTAAACTAATCTTGAATTTTTTTGTGGTTTTTAGAAGATATGGAATTAAGTTGCTTCATTTCCATTTCTATCTCTCTCTCTCTCTTTTCAGGAAGCTCTGGAGCGAGTCTTTGATGGTTCGTGACCGGAAGTTCTCTGCTCAGCAAAGGCGAATCTGCGAGGGAGAGAAGGAAGAAGAGAGAGGTCAGTCGAATCGAACGTGATCTTGATTGTGATCTTGACTTGTCATTGTATTCGCCATTGTCTCAGTCTCTAAGCCCCATGTTCGGTTCGCTCTCTAAAACCCTCCTTCGCCGCCCCCTGTTCTTGCCCACCACCACTCTCAGATTGATCTCCACCGCCGCCGCCGCCGCCGCCGCCGCCACCTCGAGTCGACCCTCTTTCGCGGTCTCTTACCTCGTGAATTCATGTGGGTTGTCGCCGGAATCGGCGTTGTTCGTTTCCGAACGCGTCAACTTCGAAACCTCGGCGAGACCCGACGCGGTCATTGACGTCTTCAAGAACCATGGTTTCTCTCAATTCCAGATTTCGGGTATCATTAGGAGGTGGCCTTGGCTGATTTTGGCGAGTCCTGAGAGGACCCTCTTGCCCAAATTGAAGTATCTGCGCTCTGTCGGCTTTTCCGGCTCTGACCTGGCCAAATCGATCACTGCTGCTCCCTGCATATTGACTAGGAGCTTAGAGAAGCACCTCATCCCCAATTTCGGTAGGCTTCGGGACTTCCTTCGGGGCGATAAGTATGCGGTTACAGCTATTAGACACAGTCCGAGAATATTGTCACAAGGTCTCGAGGCTACAGTTGATCCTTTTGTCAAGATTTTGAGAGATAAGGGAGTGCGTGAATCGAGCATTGTGTGGTTAGTTAAGAATCAATCTAGGACGATGATAGCGTTGTGTGGTCACCTCGATGAAATTGTGGAGAAAACCAAGGGGATGGGCTTTGATGATCCTTCTGCGGCAAAGTTTGCTGTGGCTATGTTAGCGGTCGTGGGGATGAGCGAATCGACGTGGGAGAGGAAATTCGATGCTTATGGCAGGTGGGGTTGGTCTAGAGATGATACCATGAGAGCTTTTGTGAAGTGTCCTTGGTGCATGGCCACGTCCGAGGAAAAAATAATGGCAATGATAGGATTCTTTGTCAAGGAAATGGGGTTTGAATCTTCATTTCTTCTGCGACATCCTTCGTTGATGTCGCTGAGCTTAGAAAGACGGATTCGTCCTCGATGTTTGGTTTTTAAACATCTGTCGTTGCATGGTTTGATGAAGACGAAGATTGGCTTGACTTCCCTGTTGACGTTTTCGGAAGTAGATTTCCTGGAGAAGTTTTTGACCCCTCACATCGAGGAAGCTCCGGAATTGCTGGATATATATCGGGAGAAGAAGCATATGGCGACGGGGACACTGGTTCCATGAAATGGCACGGGCTACCAACTAATTCGTTTGTCCCTCTTCCCTTAAAGGTTGTCATTCTGTTTATTTTGTGGCTCGAGTTTTGGCTGTCGATTCTTTAAAGCTGTATTGTGTATCGATGGAGAACAGCTGCCTGCCATTTTTCTTGTGCAACCATGGGACAATGTCCATTGTTTCGCATTCTCCCTTTAAGTTGGTTCTTTATTCGTAGGCTTCCTGTATACCTTGCCTTAAGGTTTAATGTTCATTGGAAAGCATGGCCTATATGATCCCTGATTGTAGGCTTAATAAGATAAAAAAGTTGCTCATGTATGCTGGTTGGTTCATTCTTTATTTGCACAAATTTTTCCAAATTGAGAAGCTTGTAGAAAGCGCGAAAAAGAACGAGGAAACCATAGCTCTAAATGCTTGGAAGCCTGAATGTTCTGATTCACAAGAACTCTTCAGAGTGACAGGTTAAAATTTGTGTGCTTTGTTACGACTACTGTGGCTGTAATGTGCATTGATGTTGTGCATAATGGTTGTACAGCAAAGATAGATTGAAAGTTTGCTCTGGCAAACCCTGCTTCACAGCCCATCATTTTCACCTCCTGCACTCTGATTCGTCCCCAGCGCCGCCGCCGCCTCGAATCAACCCTCTTTCACGGTCTCTTATTTCGTGAGTTCGTGTGGGTTGTCTCCTGAATCGGCGTTGTTCGTGTCCAACCGTATCAACTTCAAGGCCGCGAGACCCAACTTGGTCATTCACTTCTTCCAGAACAATAATGGCCTACTATCGATCCCAGATCTGAAAGATCATTAGGGACACTTCCTCAGCTGATTGTGGCCAGTCCTGGGAGGACCCTCTTGCCCAAATTCAATTATTTGTGCTCTCTCGGCTTTTCCCACTATAAACCTGGCCAGAGTCATCACTGCTCTTCAGGTATGTTGATGGGAGCTTAGAGAAGGGCCTCATCGCTCTCCGCTCTTTATGGAACAATTGTTATCAGAGTTTCATTTTTTTCATAATTCTCCATGCTGCAGTCACATCATAAGGAAGGACAGTACTACCCAAAAATGCAAATGGTTCAAGATAATTGGTACTTTGCAGAATGTATTTAGTAGAACAGAGCTCTTTATATAAGCTAGAGTGAGTAGGAAGTGGGCATTATGCGAATTAGTTAAAGCTTTACTGCTCGTTGGATTCGTCATGAGATGATGAATAGGAATTAGATTCGCAGTCCGGCAGGTCCACTTCATGTATTCTCTAGAAGGCGACGGATAGGCGCACTGCGCTTTCCGTTGCCCAAATGTTCGCCTTTCTAAGTCAAGTAATGGTGACCCACCGAAGGCTAGAACCTCGTAACATGTTGACGAAGACCTCCGAACTGAGCTGACGAAGACCTCCGAACTGAGCGAGCAAAAACATGAAGCGTATTCGATCTTTAAAAATATCCTTGCTCAGCATCCTGCCTAGGAAAAGAATGCTGCTTATAATCCGGAAGAAGCCTTCGTGGAATTTTTAAGCGCCAAGCGAGATGAACATGACCAGACTGATTGGAGGGGTTTGAGGGGGAAGGCTTTAGCAGTTGTCGGTAATGTTGCTGGCGGAATCTTGCCTTCTTTCGTGAATGCATAAATAAAGATTTACCAAGCCACACCTTGATAAAATAAAGAGTGTTCTCTATTTTTTTTGTCCTTTCTTTTTAAGTTGAAACACAGTACAATCTTTTCAACAGGCTAGGCATCGGCTTAAACTGCAATCAAAGGTTAGCGCTAACGAGCAAGAAAAGGCCCCTTAGCCTATCTATCTAAGGGGCCTTTAATAATATTATATAATAAGAGTTGGCCCGACGATATTGATCGTGACCTTGATACGGAGCTGGAGCTTCTAACTAGGATGAATGCGCTAACTATGGATATGAAATCTGATTTTGAAACTGTCTTTCGTTTAGTAGTACATGTAGACTAGTAATTGACACGGAAGCATCTCCATCTCGATCCAAATTCGCCCCCCGCGGGGAGGCAGCGTGTAATCTTGAATAAGTATATGTCGGTGTAGATTCTAGAACGTATGAATCCCATCTCTCAAAAGCGCTACGCACCTGTTAAAAGGCTAAGGCAAGGAAGTGATTTAGAACCATTTTTGATGTTAACAATGGAAATTTCTCTTTTTGAATCATTTGTATAAAGGCTTCTGCCTCTTCATTTCATTGACATATTACATATATATTACTCACTGCCCAAAGCCCAAGCCAAATATCCCGGCTACGTAATTATTTTGTTCGCTCCTCACCCAATACATGTCGTAGTTGTCTAGGCCGTGACCAACCACGGTGATGGAGATCCTTCGGGAGATCCCCTATCGTGCTCGAAGGTGAACGGGTTTGACCCGGCTTATCCCCTGCTGTAGCAATTGGAACATCCAGATCCAAGGTACGTCTTGCTGTAGAGATGAATGTCGTCTTTACATAGCTTACGAATACAAAGGGGACCGCCACAAGAGAAGGACCTGTATGATTTTCATTGATTTTCTGCTGAAGCTAACTTGCCTTATATAGAAGCAACAGGTGCATCATTCACATAACAACCATGTATCGACACTACCTGCATCCATCAATAAGTTCTAAGCATATGGATAGGTGCCAATTGACGGCCATTAAAGAATAGATGAGATTCCACCTAGGAATCAGAGGTTGTAGCCCCTCGGGGTTGCATCCTATGGACTCCTTCCTATCCTATCCATAGAACTCAAGGAAACCATGGATGGGCGAACACGAACTTGATTGGGAAATTTTGGAGATTCTTTGATATCCTTCTTCTAGAGCGAGATTCTTAAGAAAGAGAATAATGTTAAATCGGTCTATTGGGATGAGCTTGATGCCGAAACTATAGCCTTTTTTTTTATTGTTTCCAGTTTATTGGTGGTGTTTGTATGCACTTCAGAATGGATCATATAAGAATCCCTCGCGTTGCTAATCCTTTCTCGCTCCTAATAGATTAAGTTGGGGAAACATTAAATGCAATAGCTCACGCACACATGTTAGAAATACATGAAATTTCCTTCTAGTTAGTGCACTCTAGAAGTAGAGAAAATTTGTTAAATGATCTAGATTTAACATGAAATCTGCCTTTCTAAAGTCAAACTAATCTTGAAATTTTTGGGATTTTTAAAAGATATGGAATTTATTGCTTCGTGCTCATATCTCTCTGCAAAGACATGACAATTCTAGTACGGCTATGTTAGCATGTGTTTGCTAGGATGGTGGCTAATCATACTCATGAGAGAGACAATACGTGCAACAAATTTTTAGTACTCTTAAATCGACTCGCTAGCAAACTACTTATATCAATTTCGAGATTTGCGTCCATCACATATCGACTTTAGAATTTTTTATTGTTTGACTTGCAACCGCTGATAATACTCTTAGTTTATTATAAATGGTAAATCGAATTCATAAGTCAGCTTTTGGATTCTCAAAATAATTTTTTTATTGGTGCACATCATATTTCGGTTTTGAAACTATTCATGAAGGCAAAAATAAAATTTTTTAGGGATAATGACACAAGCAGTCCCTGAACTTTAATCCAATGTACAATTTGGTTCATGAACTTTTAATTTATCCAATGCAGTCCCTGAACTTTATTCTAACGTTCAATATGGTCCATGAGCTTTTAATTTGTTTAATGTGATCTCAGTATTTTTTGTACATGTTCAATTTAGTCCCTGAACTATATGAAAATATTCAATGTAGTCCTTCTATTAATTCAAGTTCAGGAACTACATTGAACATTTTCATATAGTTCAGGGACTAATGTATCAAAAGTTCAGGGATAATATTGAATAAATTAAAAGTTCAAGAACCACATTGAACATTAGAATAAAGTTCAAGGAATGCATTGAATAAATTAAAAATTTGGAATTTAAATTATATATTAAGTCAAAGTTCAGAGATTATTTATGTCATGTTCTCGACTTTTTACTTGGTTAGTGTAATTTTTACCATTCGCTGTTTCTTCCTTCTCTTTTTCAGGAAGAACCTCGCGAACGCTCGCAAAGAACCTGCGAAGTTTTGATCGTTCGGGACTGGAAGTCGTCTCTTCAACGAAGGTGCATCTGCGAGGGAGAGAAGGAAGAAGAGAGGTCAGTCAAATCGAACGTGTGCCTTGACATTGTGATTGTACTCGCCGTTGTGTGTCAGTCTAAAAGTCCCATGTTCAGTTCGCTCTCTAGAACCCTACTTCGCCGCCCGCTGTTCTTGCTCACCACCACTCTCAGATTGATCTCCACTACCACCTCCACCTCGAACCGACCCTCTTTTGCGGTCTCTTACCTCGTCAATTCATGTGGGTTGTCCCCGGAATCGGCGTTGTTCGTTTCCGAACGCGTCAACTTCGAAACCTCGGCAAGACCCGACGCGGTCATTGACGTCTTCAAGAACCATGGCTTCTCTCAATCCCAGATTTCGGGTATCTTTAGGAAGTGGCCTCGATTGATCTTGGCGAGTCCTGAGAGGACCCTCTTGCCCAAATTGAAGTATCTGCGCTCCGTCGGCTTTTCCGGCCCTGACCTGGCGCAAATGATCACTGCTGCTCCCTACGTATTGACTAGGAGCTTAGAGAAGCACCTCATCCCCAATTTCAGTAGGCTTCGGGACTTTCTTCGTGGCGATAAGTATGCAGTTACAGCTATTAGGCGCAGTCCGAGAATATTGTTACAAGGTTTCGAGACTACAGTTGATCCTTTCGTCAAGATTTTGAGAGATAAGGGAGTGCGTGAATCGAGCATTGTGTGGTTAGTTAAGTGTCAGTCTAGGACGATGATAACGTCGTGCGATCACCTCGAGGAAATTGTGGAGAAAACCAAGGAGATGGGCTTTGATGATCCTTCTGCGGCAAAGTTTGCTGTGGCTATGTTAGCGGTCGTGGGGATGAGCGAATCGACGTGGGAGAGGAAATTCAATGCTTATGGCAGGTGGGGTTGGTCTAGAGATGATGCCATGAGAGCTTTTGTGAAGATTCCTTGGTGCATGACGTTGTCCGAGGAAAAAATAATGGCAGTGATGGGATTCTTTGTCAAGGAAATGGAGTTTGAATCTTCATTTCTTCTGCGACATCCTAGGTTGATGTCGCTGAGCTTAAGAAAACGGATTCGTCCTCGATGTATGGTGTTTAAACATCTATCGTCGCATGGTTTGATGAAGACAAAGATTGGCTTGACTACCCTGTTGACGATTTCGGAAGAAGATTTCCTGGAGAAGTTCTTGACCCCTCATATCGAGGAAGCTCCGGAATTGCTGGATATATATCGAGAGAAGAAGCATATGGCGATGGGAACACTGGTTCCATGAAATGGCACAGGGTACCAAATAATTAGTTTGTCCCTCTTTCCTTAAAGGTTGTCATTCTGTTTATTTGTGGCTAGAGTTTTGGCTGTTGATTCTTTTAAACTGTATTGTGTATCAATGGAGAACAGCCGTCTACCATTTTTCTTGTGCAACCATGGGACAATGTCCATTGTTTCGTATTCTCCCTTGAAGTTGGTTCTTTATTCGTAGGCTTCCTGTATACCTTGCCTTGAGGTTTAATGTTCGTTTGAAAGCATGGCCTATATGATCCCTGATTTTAGGCTTAATAAGATCAAGAAGTTAAGTTACTCATGTCTGCAGGTTCATTCTTTATTTGCGCAAAATTTTTCCAAATTGAGAAGATTGAGGAAAGTGCCAAAATAATTTTAGGAAACCATAGCTCCAAAGGCTTGGAAGTCTGAATCTTCTGATACACAAGTACTCTTCAGAGTGACAGGTTAAAGTTTGCGTGCTTTGTTACAACTACTGTGACTATAACGTGCACTGATGTTCTGCATAATGGTTGTAAAGCAAAGATAGATTGTATGTCCGCTCTGGCAAGCCCTGCTTCACCGCCCACCATTTTCACCTTCCGCACTCAGATTAATCTTCAGCGCCACCACCTCGGATCAACCCTCTTTCACGGTCTCTTATTTCGTGTGGGTCTGTCTCCTGAATCGGCGTTGTTCGTGTCCAACCGTGTCAACTTCAAGACTGCAAGACCCGACTTGGTCATTCACTTCTTCAAGAACAATAATGGCCTTCTGTCGATCCCTGATCTCAAAGATCATTAGGGACACTTCCTCAGCTGATTGTGGCCAGTCCTGGGATGACTCTTTTGCCCAAATTCAATTGTTTGTGCTCTCTCGGCTTTTCCAACTATAACCTGGCCAAAGTCATCACTGCTCTTCAGGTATGTTGATGAGAGCTTGGAGAAGGGCCTCATCACTAATTTGGTGCAGTATGGGATGATCTTCGGTGCCATAAGCAGGCGGTTGTGGCTATTAGCCGCTCTCCGCTGTTATTATATGTAGATTTCGAGACTAGAATTGCTCCTTTTGTCAAGATTTTTAGGAGAGAATGGTTCTAATACTTTCATATGCTATATGGACTGGATTATTGGGGTCTGTCATCCTTTAACTCCCTTTTGAGTCTATGGAAAAAGTGCTTCATGATTTATTCATGGGCAAACTAAAAGCTTTTCGGTATCTTGTTCTTGCGAAATGGTTGTTCAACGACAACATAGGCATTTGTGCTCATTAATACTATCTAGATGGAAAATTTCCAGATTTTTTCTCTTCAAATGCTTGCATGGGCTTGGCATGAATTTGTAAATGCAGAAGCGGCGTTGGAGTGTAGATTTGGTATAAAGTCCCGTTTTGCACGGGGAAAATAGCGCAACCCTTTGCTACACCGCATAGTCAGAGAATCCGAGTGCTCTTCATAGTTCTCGACACGCCATTTGCGGCGGTGGATAATACGGGAAGATCCATCCCCGGGCAATACCGAAGTCGTCATAAGACCCTAGGTTGTTCATAACACGTGAGTTGAGTATTGTGCAATGCAACCACCTATGGTTTGCTTCGTACAAACTGAACAAGGTCTCCTTCAGAAGAAACTTTAAAGGTCGCCTTTCTTGTCGAGCTTCAATCAATAATCGGATGGTCGCTTCGCAACTGCTCTTCATCTGCCATGAAGTGAGAACTGGATTAATCAAATCCTTGCTCACACGAGCTCAGAAGTACAACACATGAACCGCATCAAACCATGAAAACATAAGTTTTCGTTTGACGTCGATGTCGTGCTCGTGCCTTTTAGCTTGGGTGGATTGTAGTACATACTCACGACACGTGCGGAAAACTATCATCACCCACCTTCGATCAGCAGCCGGTCAATCTCGATGGAATTTCTCTTTGGTTTTGTCAATTGCAACTTTGGGCCGACGAAACTCTTATTGCCTCTTTCAGCAAAGTAGGAATAGAAAACACCTACTGTTTACTATTAGCCATCAATTAGACCACGGGGTATCCTCATCTTCAATGTCAATTCGGTCGCTCCATCTAGCCACATCCCGCTTTAACAAGACTATGATTGACTTCGTAATTTAACGTCACATGGAATGCGCGTGCTAGGAACGATTGGATTGACAAATGTATGTTACACATCACAGATCGGAGGTTGTTCCCCAACGCGAAATGCAGACAGAAATCGACTCAAATATGCATATGCATCTTCAGTTCAGTTGTTGAATTGTTTCCTTGGCATATTCAACTGCGACAAGAATATTCACAAACCTGGAACCCACAGACATCAAAAGTATGCACAAATACACAATGACTAATAATTCAATGTCCCTCTCCATATGATTTGCTTTGCAATTTTTTTTCCTTCTCTTTCCTGACTATTACATGCCCCAATGCTCCCAAAACATATACAACCACATAAATAATCAGCACATTGGAGACAGAAAACACCATGGGAGGGTGGAATTACCACAAATCTTGAGAGAGAGAGAGAGAGAGAGATGAATTCTCCAAATTTTCTGAAGGACTTCATCTTAAGCCCGAAATAATTTTGAAAAAGCCAGCTAGCAAGAGGCTGACCCAATTTTAAGGATTGAAGAAGTGTAGTTTGATCGAGTCAGCCGTGGTAAGTCTCCCGTGAAGAATGGCCAGCCGTTGGAGTCTAGACATTGTGATCTCTGCATGGTCGGAACATATACCTTTCCGGATAATTCCACTTGTCGCCTCTCAATTAACCAAGTAAAAACTTGAAAACATCACCAAGTGTAACAATACCTTCCACGCACTTGCTGCCAGCCTCAATAATGACAAGTCGTCTGATACCTGAAGTAATAGCCATCTCCTTTTTAGCACAATGCAGGGTTCATATCTAGATCTCGCTGTAATATCAGCCATGACAATTACATGCTTCCATGTCATTCTACATCCTTCCATGTAAATATATATAATTGTCCAAGAAGCAGCCCAAGGTTTTCTAAGTACAAAAAATAGAGTGGAGGAGAAAAGACAAAGCAGAAAACTACATCTCCAGGACACGACCCAAAACCGATCCGGTGAACACGCTGATCAATTTGGAAGCCAAATTTTCACTTTGTCTAAAACACAGGCATGAAAAAACAAGAACAGCTTATCTGGCTATCCCAACCGAGGACAACCACAACATGGGAACCATGAGCACGTTCCAAACTTACTGCAGAACCCAAGTAGACCAAAACAGTAGACACGCAAAATGAATTTTCCAGAAGATGTGACATATATTTCCTTCTTTGAAAATTCAACCAAAAAAGCATGTCCAATCATGTCACAAGCAAAAGCTAAGATTAGTCTTCCTATATTAGGAAGACTTGAGCACTACATGAGGCCGCTCCACACATGTCAAATTTGTGTTTGTGCACTAACGTGTGTTAATAAATCGATGCATATTAGTAAAGCAACGAGTAGCTCAACAGACCCTGAACTCACTTCTCAACTATGTGTACAGCAGTGAGAGCAAGGACAATACGTGATATGACTGACAAAACACACATACCTGGGTTTGACAATCGCTCCATCACTTTGTGCAGTGAATCAGAGGGCAGACACATTTGACATCTTTGGCTTCTGAGATCATAAGGAGCATACGAATCTTGTCCCAACTGCAGTGCCTAATAATGAAAAAGAAGCAAGTCGCTGCAGATGAATATTTTCAAACAAAAAGTCTCATGTTTGGACAGATTCAAAAGAGAACTTCTAAATGCATTGATAAGAGAACTTCACAATCCAACAATAGAACTATTCCATGTACCCCACTCAACATGGCAAACAGAGTACTCGAGCTGTGCTGCAAACTGGAAATAGATTCATGTAGTTGCACATCCTATTGTGCTTCACATTTCAATGGTAGCTGTCATACTGAATTCCGTCTATAGATATCTACTGAATATATTCAGCTCAAGAAAACCAGCTGCAACAACCTAGTTCCTAAACATTCCATCAAAACCCTAACCCCAGAGCTACAAGAAGTTTGATTTATGAATGAAGAGAGAATGCAGGGGGTTTCACATAGCTCACTTTGTCGCCAGTACAAACTCTTCAAGCATGATCAAAAAATGGAACATAGAACAGAAATCATCATTGATATGGGGATATAACCATCACTTGTATGCATATTAAACACGTCCTACCATGGTACAATTAACCACGCAATCAAATGTAATGAAATCCTTCATCAGATACTCTTTCCTTCAAAGAAAAACTAGTTTGGTTTTTTCAATAAAAAACCAGACATCAGAAGTGGTTCTCTGTTTAACAGGAAGAGGCACAAATCAAGCAGCGATTAGTATTCCAACTGGCATGGCCACCTTAAGCATGTGTAACATTCCAAAAATAACCAAAGTAGATGATGTAACTACCCAAATCCAGGGCTCATACAAGGATAATAACCTTAGAAGACGATCAAACTACTCAAAGCCAGGGCTCGCACAAGGAAAATAAAACTTAAATGACAATCTGCTTCCTTCTAGACAGAAAACAATCGCCATTCAATTGGAACAAGTTTTTTTCTGTTAATATCATCGAAAATATACCAACTCTGAGCATACACAAGATCGGTTTATTCTTTGCTAAAAAATTGACAGGTTAGGAACTTATGAGAGCTAAATAGAAGACAAACAAAAGAAATACCTGATGTATGGTCATTTCGTTGAGATTAATGTGGGTATAAGCTTTGTCCTTTGCCAAAGCAGTGATATCACTGCCAAAGTCAAAGCTAAATGTTTAACATAAAAGCAAAAGAGGAATATGATTCCAGGAAATGCTAATGTCATTCTCTATATAGAAGGAAATCATGTACTCCTGGTGGAAAGAAATGACATACCTCCGTGAGTAAATGTCCAACAAAGAGTCATTGTCATCCACTATGGGAATTGAACTAACTTGTGCTGTCAAAGCATACAGTTACATAGCATAAGAACCAAAATCTAAAAGCACCTAATTAATATTTTTTTGCCCTAGAACATCCACATTACATCAGCAACCAAAACAAGAACTTACGGACGCAAAACACTTTTCCAAGGGTCTTACAATAGTTTCTGCTTTCAAAAAGTTAAAAACAAATAAAATACAACAAGCATGGCTTAAAGTACTCTGTTAACCTTTTTGCATTTTACCATAGGCTGGGCTTTTCCACCTTCAAGTACCTTCCACAGGTGAAGGGAGAAAGTCCACCTCTTAGCAACAGCTTTGAACAATTAAGTAGAACGAAAGTTTCGAGAAGCATATATCACAGTGAAACTTTTTTATCATGAGAATGCAGAAAAGTATGTATCCATAATTAACTGGCAGTAGAAAGCACATACTTTCCAAATTGAAACAACCAGGGCAGTCAAAACTACTTAAAACTAAGGTAATACCTTGAATTAACAAATTGAGGGCCGAACTAAGTGAATCACTAGGTCTCAACATGGCTAAAGGCCGTCGATTAGGTTCACCAATTTTCGGAATCCAAGTGCCGATTCGAATTGCATATATTGGCAACTGAAGCACAGGCAATGAACTAGAACAATGTCTGAAATAACGGCAAAGACCTGTACAAAGAAACAAACATTTCCATCAGTAAACGAATGGAATTATTATGGCCATACTCACTAACAGATGCAGCTTACATTTTAGAATCCCAGAAAGAGAAGCCATATGCAGTAGCTGCGAAAATGAACCATCTTCTGAAGAAGAATGAATAACTGGAACTGAGGCCACGTCATTTTGCAAAATTTTCAAAGTGACATCTTTCAAGTTATCAAATGGCCCAGCCTACACATCAGAAAAGAAAAATCCTATCAAACAAGAAAACACAACAAAAAAGTCGGCAAAGATGTAGAAGACACAAGGTTTGAATCCATGCGAGCTGTCAGTCAAACTCACTCTACAAGCCAAATGAAAAGGTCAATGACACATGAACTCAAGCAAGAGACAAGGTAGTTCATGAACATCATATTCAACAAAAATACACTCGTCCACCAACCATCAGTGGACAAGTGTATTTTTGCAAACGAAAAACTGACAAGATAAGGATATCATACACCGGCCACTATTTCTGGATGAGTTCAGGCAAACTATAAAGATGGGCTGCTGGTAAGTATCACATGCAGTTCACATCAACCTTTTTTGGTAGGAAGCAACACTCCAGCCACTATTTTTTCAAGTGTTCAGGCTAACTTTCAAGATGGCCCGCTTGTAGGTTTCACATGCAGTTCAATTTCAGACGCATTATTTCATCTACCTTTTCCATATAAGAGAAATCCCTTCTCAAAGGGGGGGCTCTGGAAAGGCTCCGCAAAATATAACATTATACAAGAGCGATTCATTGCCAACCAACTTGATTTAACATATGTATATCCAGGAAGAACATAATCAAATTGCAAAGAACTATAGTCCAGACCAAGACTGATGATCCAAGATGTTGAAGAACTCACATAGACAAGAGGCCTTGAAAATGCTCTTCCATGCCCATCAACTTGTCTGCTTAAATATGCTTTCCCCTCTTTCCATGCGGCTATTGTGTGTGTTTCAAGCTCCTCCTCTGTCAGATTTGATCCATGATTTCCAAGCTGAAAAAGCAGGACAATCTTATGGAAACTATAAAAATTGAGGCAAAACTTAATCAAAAGGAAGAAAGTGAGACTAACATTCAACAGGGGCTAACAACTTTCAATGCCCATCTAATATTTGAAAATCGTTACTATCCTAAAAACTCAACGGTGGAAAGAAGATTTATAGAATCCCCTTATTGATCAATACATATATAATGTCACATGGCTGGTTCTGATGAAACGAGAAAAATCTTAAGCCAGCTCTCAGGACGTATAAATCTGCATAATGTTTGATTGAAACATTTGGGCTGGAAGAAGAATACTAAAAACGAATATGCTTAGAGAAAAATATGCAAGTTGAGCGAACATCAACTTCAATTCGATTTAGTACTTACCTCTCTTAAAATCAAAATAAAATCCATCGCACTTAAAACTCCAACAAATTGTCCCCGGCGGAAGTCCCAGAGAGGAGCTGTAGGGATCCCCTGCAGACATTGAGCAAAAACAAAGAAATTCCAGATTCTTCATCTTCAACAGAAAGATAAACATGATTTACAGGATGGCGTCAACAAATGGTCATAAAAAGTCTAAGCTATGGATGTTGTCATGAAAAATCTAAACAAAAACTGTCTGAAAAACACAAATGCAATGGCTCTTTGATCCTGCAAGACATCACCAAAAAAGAGCACTTTAAGAACGCTGTGAGGGCTACAATCTTTATTAAAATACTCTACTAACTCAGGTGAGGACAATCTTTGTGGGATCCTCACGGACAACATTTACATACCCTTAGTCAATTAGTCCAAGATATGTAAAGTCTAACTAGAACAGCACCCAAAAAAACGAAGAAGAAAATTAATGTGGAAAAGAATACCTGCTCGTATAAAATATGAAATGCTTGCTTCACGGGTAAATCAATGTCCAAGGCAACTACCTGTCACGCATGTATATATTTGGAGAAAGTCTGACTAAGAAAGCTCAAATGGCAATTGAAGTTGCATATAGCCAGAGATCAAGCATCCAAACCTTGCCTGACTCCGGAAGTAACTCATATGCAGTGTGGCTAGTCAAGAATGCAGTAACGCGGTGACGAGAAACCACTAAGTCAGTGTCTGAGATCCTTGGTACAGCCTCCATTAATGTGCAATCCGTTACGCGGACCTGAGTTTTCTTTAATCAAAAAGCTAATTAGTCTACTTGTAGACCAGATATATTAGAAAAAAAAACCTGTAGGCAGATGTAAAAACAAGCAAAAGGAAAATTGGAGCAGCCTTTCGGCCATGAATTAAGACAGAGGGAGAACCGGTAGTGTCGAATACTTTTGAAATTCTTAAGGGACATCTGAAAGACATAATGCACATATCAACTGAAAATTAAACAAACACAAAGTGCAACGCACACACTCAATTTAATCATCGGATTGAATACAAGAACCTAGCTCTCTATGGAAGAATCTCCATAGAGAGTTTCCCCCCGACACAAGATGTGCCCCTACAGCCAGTTAACTTCAATCAAATCACATAAAACAGAAGCCGGGAGGTATAACAATTGCTGTTGGTCACAAGCTCTCACCAAACGCCGTGCCTGTTCATCAACCTCCATGTTCGAACCCGGGGGGGTATCTGGGCTGGGAGTCCCTGGAATATAATTAGCCTCTGTCAAAAAGATAGTGTTCACTATCCCGTAGTCGCTAGTTGCATAAGGTTGGTGTTCATCATGTCTCCATTCTCCATCAACAAAAAATTTATACTGCGCCAAAGATGTGCAAGATGTTTAGTCTGTTGAAATTGCATCTTTGAACCATAGAGAAACGAACTATGCTGATGCAGCAAGCCCCGCATGCACCACATCTCAAATTTAACACGTCCATAGGCATCACATACTTGACTATCTTATCGCCAGTCACATGACACTAGCATAATCGAAAATGCTTCCAATAATGAGCAAAGAAAGGAAATCCACTTCTCAAACACCGCGAACTTATTGCTAGTGCTAGTGGAGAGAAGTTCCCAAATCAACCTCATTCCCCTCACATTTTACACCTCTACGTCTCCCTTCAGAATATCTAAATCTGCTGCAAACAAAAGATTTGCAAGCTCAAAAAGGAGATGTCCAAGTGGAAGTATTCATGGATCTTTCAGGTGTTCTCTTCCAGAAAATCTAAATCTCATGAATCTAACACTTCCTATAGAAACAAAACCTCCAATAATCATCATTACATGACAACAGATCAAAATCACATGTTGAGAGCCTAACACAATGTCCACTATCAAACTTCACTACAGTACTTTGGCTCTACACTAATCTTCGAACGTGTGGTGCAGAAAATTCAGAGCACATATGCATTCACAAGCTATGAAAAAATGCATATCTTCTTCCATTCATCTCACGAAGGTACAAACAGCCAGAATGTAAATACGCGTTCCAGATAACAAGAAGGAGAAGCAAGCATAGTATAGCAATCTGACCTGGTGGTACCCAGGAGGTATGCTGCAAAGAACCTGAAAGACTGTGGGACAACCCTCAACTGGAGTCATCGGCATCAACTCAGACCATCTTCACATAATTAACAAGGACAAAAGAAACAGACAACCAATTCATCAAATTCAGCAGCAGAGAAATACAACCCCATCAAGCCACTCGAAGTAATTCTTCTCTTCAGATTCGAAATCAAAGATTTTTTTCAGCCTTGCCTGTAAAAGGAACCGCACAGAAACACGCTCGCACCGCCGTAAGGCCACACGAACCTCATCGGAATCAGAACCACGCCCCCGATTCCCCCGGATTCCCTCGCGGTGTCCATGCCCGGACCCTCGAATCGACCTCCAATCGGGCAATAGATTTTCGATCAGCACGCTCCACCCCGCGGCGGCGAGAGCTCGCGCCTCATACCACCACCTCCTCTTCGCTGCAAGACAGAGAATCGAAAACAAGCTCAAAAAGACCCCGCGAACCCCGCCAGCGAGAAAGGAGGAAGAAAAAAAAAACCCAGACCCGAATTCCCACCGATACCCAACAGCTCCAGCTCCAAATTCACCGCCACAGAAGCGAAACGCGCCCCTACCCAGCATTCTTTCCCCCAGACCCAGATAAAAAAAACCCATCTTTAAGGCCATTCCGCACCCGGCCAATCGCGAAACGTACGAAAGCCGCCCAATTTCTCACGACCCAGTACGCACTACATCCCCCAGAACAGCAGCGCGCATGCGCGAGCTCGAAAGACACCCGCAAAAAAAACAAACAAGACGACGACAACAACTCACCCGCGGCAGAATCACGAGCAAGAGAGGGGGGGCCCCGTCCGCTGCGAAGAAGAAGGACAAGAACAACAAGAACAAGAACAAGAATCCGCGAGAATGCGAGGTGGGTGTGGTGGGGGGAGAACGGGAGGAATCAGCTCGTGAATCAATGGAAACTCCTGAAGCGATTGGGACGATAGAGAGAGAGAGAGAGGGAGCGCGAGAGCGAGAGGGAGGAAGGGGAAGGAAGGGGGGGAGACGTGAAGATCGAGAGACGCAGAGAGTGAGAGAGAGGGAGAGGGAGAGGGAGAGGGGAAAAAGACCCAGCTGCGATTACGATCGAATCTGAATTTTTCGAGCCCTAAAATGCAAAAAAAAAAAAAAAAAAAAAAAAGAAGGACGAATTTTTTTTGCCTTTTTTTTGTTTTTTCTTCTTCCTTCTTCTTCTTCCTCCTCCTCCTCCTCCTCCTCGTCCTCTTGCTCTTTCGATAGGCTCGAGTATTTCGGGGTTGCGAAGCGGAGGATTGAATAAGTGTTTGCTGTAATGTTGTTCTTCTTGTTGGGTCGTCAGGTTAGAGAGAGAGAGAGAGAGAAGGAGAATGGGAAGGAGGGGTATTTAACCCTAGCTTTTTTTTTCGCCATTTTTTTTTCTCTCGGGAAAAGGGGGAATAATGATTAAAAAAAAGGGGGGGCAGGAAAAATAAATTAATAGTTAGACAAATTGGGGGAAATTAGGGGACGGGGGGGGGGATTTGTGTGCGCGCGCTTGTGTGGCGTGCGCGCGCGCCCGCGCGTGTCCTGCGATCGGAGGAGCTGCGGAAAGCGCAAAAAAAAAAAAAAAAAGAAAAGAAGAGAAAGAGAGGGGGGGGAAAAAAAGCGAAAAGAGATGATTGTGTTTTGTTCTGTTGCGAGGGGCCACCCTCCCCCCCTCCCCTCCCCCGGTCCGTCCTGTGTTCGCCGCACCTGCGGATGTGCCTTTCGGAGACAATTGAGGGAAAACAAAAGGGGGGTGAAAAAAACAAGAGAGATATGTTCCTAAATACTTATGATTTAATATCACGAAAAATCTCAAATCGATACGCCCGTAATAATTTTATCTCGTATTAATTTTTTGATCACCGAAAACCCAAAACTGATACTATCGTGACAGATTTAATCTCAGTTTGGTTCTGTTAAATTTTACTGTCGAATTGATCTGTTAAATGACACGCGACGGTTAACTGATGTACCGGTTTTATGTTTTACCCTCCATTTGTCACGAGTGTATCAGTTTGTGATTTTTTATGGTATTAATTCAATTTGACGGAAACTAACGGAGGGTAAATTTGTCACGGGTGTACACGTTTGGAGTTTTTAGTTGTCAAAATATTAGTTTTGGATAAATTTATCACAGGTGTACCTGTTTGAGATTTTTTGTGGTAAAAAAATAGTTTTGGGTAAAATTGTCACAGGCGTACCATTTTGGGGTTTTCCGTGGTATTAACCCTAAAACTTATCGAGTCAAAAATTATAATTGAGTTCTAAAACTTGTCAAATTGGTTCAATCGAGTCTTAAAGTTAACATCGTCAATTTAGCTAACGGAAAATGTTGACGTGACAATTTTTAATCATTTTCTCTCTCCTATGTGGTGATTTAATATTATTTTCTCTTCTAAATTGAACTAATTTTTTTTACCAACAAAAACCCCAAACCGGTATACCCGTGATAAATTTACCCCAAACTAATTTTTTGACCACCAAAAATCCCAAACCGATACACTTGTGACAAATTTACCCTGTGTAAAATTAGATTAATATCGCGAAAAATCACAAACTGGTAAACCTGAGACAAACCAATGGTTAAAATCTCAAAAATAGTACATTCGTCAACTATCATGTGTCATTTAACTCAGCAATTTGACGGTAAAATTTAACGGAAACTAACGGAGGGTAAATTTGTCACGGGTGTACACGTTTGGAGTTTTTAGTTGTCAAAATATTAGTTTTGGATAAATTTATCACAGGTGTACCTGTTTGAGATTTTTTGTGGTAAAAAAATAGTTTTGGGTAAAATTGTCACAGGCGTACCATTTTGGGGTTTTCCGTGGTATTAACCCTAAAACTTATCGAGTCAAAAATTATAATTGAGTTCTAAAACTTGTCAAATTGGTTCAATCGAGTCTTAAAGTTAACGTCGTCGATTTAGCTAACGGAAAATGTTGACGTGGCAATTTTTAATCATTTTCTCTCTTCTATGTGATGATTTTTTATTATTTTTTCTTATAAATCGAACTAATTTTTTGACCACTAAAAACCCCAAACTGGTATACCCGTGACAAATTTACCCTAAACTAATTTTTTGACAACCAAAAATCCCAAACCGGTACACTTGTGACAAATTTACCCTGTGTAAAATTAGATTAATACCATGAAAAATCACAAACTTGTAAACCTGAGACAAACCAATGGTTAAAATCTCAAAAATAGTACATTCGTCAACTATCATGTGTCATTTAACTCAGCAATTTGACGGTAAAATTTAACGGAAACTAACGGAGGGTAAATTTGTCACGGGTGTACACGTTTGGAGTTTTTAGTTGTCAAAATATTAGTTTTGGATAAATTTATCACAGGTGTACCTGTTTGAGATTTTTTGTGGTAAAAAAAATAGTTTTGGGTAAAATTGTCACAGGCGTACCATTTTGGGGTTTTCCGTGGTATTAACCCTAAAACTTATCAAGTCAAAAATTATAATCGAGTCTTAAAACTTATCAAATTGGTTCAATCGAGTCCTAAAGTTAACATCGTCGATTTAGCTAACGGAAAATGTTGACGTGGCAATTTTTAATCATTTTCTCTCTTCTATGTGATGATTTTTTATTATTTTTTCTTATAAATCGAACTAATTTTTTGACCACTAAAAATCCCAAACTGGTATACCCGTGACAAATTTACCCTAAACTAATTTTTTGACAACCAAAAATCCCAAACCGGTACACTTGTGACAAATTTACCCTGTGTAAAATTAGATTAATACCATGAAAAATCACAAACTTGTAAACCTGAGACAAACCAATGGTTAAAATCTCAAAAATAGTACATCCGTCAACTATCATGTGTCATTTAACTCAGCAATTTGATGGTAAAATTTAACGGAAACTAACGGAGGGTAAATATGTCACATGTATACCAGCTGGGGGTTTTAGCTGTTAAAAAATTAGTTTTAGATAAATTTATCACGGGTATACCAGTTTGGAGTTTTTCATGGTATTAACCCAAATAAAAAAAAATAGGGGTTTGAACTGGAGTCTCGAAGTTAAAGGTAGTAGACCATTGAGAGCCACTATAGTTACGATGGTCAGCCCAATGACCACCACCAACTCAATCGTGACCACCGCAACGAATGGCAACCACCACCACCTATTTAAGTGGCAACAATCGCGAGGGTGGTCTCAACAGCAAGTGTGACGATCGACCATCCACAACATAGAGAGCACTGTGGTCGCCAACAATTTTTTTTTTGGTCGCCAGCAATTAGGTCGTGAACATTTTGACGATTTGTCAATGTAGTTCATCCAATCAATTTTGGTCGGAAATCATTGACATAGACACTAATCGTCCTATGTGGCACCGCTGGCACTAACGTAGACAATTTTTGCAATTTTCCCTTGCTGGGCTTTGGCGAAGGTCCTGGCCCTCGTTGACCACGGGCACGGGCGGCCTTGTCTAGGCCCTCACCAATTGTGGGTGAGGCAAACCTCGCCCAGCCCTTGTTGGCCATCACCTAAGACTGGCCACCAATGTAACGAAAAGAAAAAAAAACAAAATAAGGAAAAAAAATTAAAAATTGTCCACGTCAAAGCCAACCACACCACAAAGGATGGTCGGTGTTAACTAAACCACCACGTCAACAATTTCCGATCGAAATTGGCCGAATGAACTACATTGTAGGGGTGAGCAGTTATTAAAACCTGGAACCTACCCGTTGTAATAAGTTCCTTATTTTTTAAATTTTGGAATCTATCCTGCATATTCTGGAACCTATAATCTACCTTGTCATAGGTTCCACATGTATTATTAATTGAAATATTTTATAATCATCACTTACTGCTATAATCAACCGACCACAACTTATATATAGACACATGAAAAGTATGAAACATTAACAAAATAAAATTCTTAGTCATATAAAGGAAGCTTATACTTATGGTTCCATATTATACACTAATCGTCGAACACCGAAAAATACCGCAAAAACGCTTGAAGACATTGATCAAGAAAAGAACAAGTTACAGATTCCACCTACCTAGAACTTGGAATCTACCAGTCGAAATAGGTTCCTACCAGTTTGGTTCTCAAGTTCCAACCCTACTATATTGGCAAATCGTCAAAAAGTTTAGTACTCAATTTACACACTTGAAAAGTTTATAACTGAATTAGTATAAGTTCAACAGCTTTAAGATTTTTTTTATACTTTTCACAAAAATCACATGACGTGGTAACTTTATTCATCAGAGGCTTCACATCGAATCAAATTTGAAAGATTGAGGTATTTAATAGAAAAGAAAATTTTAGGTACTTGATTGTAAAACGGACAAAAATTTGAGCTCTTGATTATCCCTCCTGCGTATTGATTGAGTACCCAAGACATATGGTTCATATGCCAAGTCTATCATACTATAGTAAGAGCTCCTAACTATCATCTCTCCTTTTGAAATAGATGAAAAAGTAATTGGGAAAGATCTAATCGACCATCGATCCTAAGTAAGATCGAAAAATGCTTCATTCTGGGTTTTGCCCGAACTTCGGGATCCTCGAGATGTAAAGCAACAAGAGGTTATTTTCACTTACTAGGGAAGACAAATATTTGAGGGGAATGTGGGGGGAGAGGGGAAGGCGTGCAGATACCAGTATATTAAAATAATAAATATATTTGTGGAGCCCGCCGTTACTACAAAGCAAACGGATAGGCTGTAGAGGCCCCGATCGGAGCTTCGGTTCCCTCTCTTTGGTGAGGTTACACTTAACCAAATATCAAGGATCATTAGCTATGTAATTAAGTGAATATTTATCTTTATATAATCTATACAATGATAGACATTAATCAAAGGTCTATCCACGCATCAAATGTTCCGATTTTGTTTTTTGATAGGTGAGATATGCTTTTTCAATGATTCAAAGTGAGAAATGTGGGTGATAAACCCCATTACATGCCTCAAGAAAACCCAGCCAACAAAATTAACAGTCTCAGAAACCGAACCACAGGACCAAATTTACACAAACCCTCGAAGCAGGGTAGTACAGATGG